AAATATGGAGCAGAAAACTAGAGTTAAATGGCCGAGGGCAAATAGCAAGAAAGAATGGGAGTCAGTCAATAGAGATTTGTCATTAATTTTAAGCAGACTAGGAGGAAATGCAAGCGATAGACTAGAGAAGATGGGAGATATAATCTACTCTTATGATGCAGAAAGATTTGGGGTGCAAGACAGAAAGAGAGTTGAAAGAGTACAGTTAAGTCTAGACGACAAAGGGATCCAGTCAGTGGATTTGGATTAGAAGAAGTAATGGTAGCTGGGGGCCCAGCAGGGGGAGCACTTAGGATAGACAGGCTCTTAGGAGAAGCAAGGAAGAAAATCCAGGAAGAGGAAGTGTTTTTAAGTGGAGGGTGTGGCCTGTGTGAGCCTCTTTGAGACCATGCGGTCAGTCCAGGTGAGTTGGTTTGTTTCTATTGCTTTGAATTGGTTTGTAGTGTGTCTCTGACTGTCTAGGCAAGTTTGTTTGTTTTAGGTGAGTTGTTGGAGAGTGGGGGAGTAGGGGGAGGTAGAGCACAGCCTAACCCGGCGGGGGAGAGCTAGCCCAAACAGGCACCTCTCCCTGACTCTACCTCCCTCATTCAAAATGGCCGCCACTTTCTCCAACTGGTTAGGGGAGTTTGTTTGCTGAATCTGCTGGTGTGTTTTGTCCGAGTTGATAATGTTGTGTGTGGTAGCATAGGCAAGGTAAAGGAGAAAATAGTTGTGGTGTGAGGAGCAGTGATGGCTGGCATTAGGGGAGTGACTCTGGGACGCCAGTGATCACTGTCTAGCCTCCTGGAGGTGTCGTGGGACCAACTAGACGAAACACTGGTGAAAGGAGGTTCCCACCTGATGACCCCAAAGACATGTTAGTTATCACTGCTCATTAGTCTGTGTAGCTGAATTAATAGTTATCATAGGGCTTAGGGAGTTATTCACTGAGTCTGGTCCAGTTTTTACAGCACAAGCTTCTTGTGTTTATCCTAAAAAATTAAGGGACCATTTTAAACAAAGACCATTTTAAACAGGGACCATTTTAAACAGAGACCATTTTAACCAAAGACCATTTTAACCAAAGACAATTTTAAATAGGGACTATTTTAAACAGGGACTATTTTAGACAAAGACAATTTTAAACAGGGACCATTTTAAACAGGGACCATTTTAACCAAAGACAATTTTAAATAGGGACTATTTTAAACAGGGACTATTTTAGACAAAGACAATTTTAAACAGGGACCATTTTAAACAGGGACCATTTTAAACAAAGACAATTTTAAACAGGGACCATTTTAAACAAAGACAATTTTAAACAGGGACCATTTTAAACAAAGACAATTTTAAACAGGGACCATTTTAAACAAAGACAATTTTAAACAGGGACCATTTTAAACAAAGACAATTTTAAACAGGGACCATTTTAAACAAAGACAATTTTAAACAGGGACCATTTTAAACAAAGACAATTTTAAACAGGGACCATTTTAAACAATGAAGGAGGTTCACATTTTTTTTGTTGTCTGCACTGATCAGGTAACATTATGAGTAATATGGGTGTTACCATAAAGCAGAACCACTTCCTCCTTTCTCACGTCATCAACTGTATAAAATCAGCAGCCGAGATTAAAAGAGACGGAAGCAACGTATATGGTTCAACTGACTAAAGCTCCATATACACGATCTTTGAATTTAATATTAACTACAGAGAGATGGGCTCTTTTTCCTATCATTAATATCAACTTGTGATTTGGGTGAAGGAATGCAGAATGTAAACCAGATCACGACTGTCCGGACTGTGGATCCAGCAGCATCACATTACGGTAAGATGGTGTTTTTTCTTTCCTGATTAGGTATCACTGTTTATGGGCACTGACTGTTTGTCTTTGTGTTTTAAAGTCAGAGTATTTTTCTTAATTGCTGTAGCCAAGACATGAATATGACCAAATGTTCAGACTATGATAGTAACTTTACAGTGACAGTTGATCTGACTAAACCTGTTTGGTCAGGAGAGTGAAAACCAGACTAACCGAAACTGGTCAAGTATCGGTCATATTACAATGAAAAAAACAAAACAAAATTACACAACGACACATAAATGTGTGTACATGCAAATAATATCCTTCCACAGAAAATCTAATTCTATGATTTAAATTAAACAAAGACAATTTTAAACAGAGACTATTTTTAAACAAAGACAATTTAATACAAAGACAATTTTTTACAGGGACAATTTTATACAAGGACAATTTCATACAGGGACCATTTTAAACAAAGACCATTTTAAACAGGGACAATTTCATACAAAGACAATTTAATACAAAGACAATTTTATACAGGGACCATTTTAAACAAAGACAATTTTAAACAAAGACAATTTTATATAGGGACCATTTCATACAAAGACATTTTTTTTACAGGGACAATTTTAAACAAAGACAATTTTAAAGAGACAATTTTATAAAGGGACAATTTCATACAAAGACAATTTTTTACAGGGACAATTTCATACAAAGACAATTTAATACAAAGACAATTTAATACAAAGACAATTTAATACAAGGACCATTTTAAACAAAGACCATTTTAAACAGGGACCATTTTAAACAAAGACAATTTTATATAGGGACCATTTCATACAAAGACATTTTTTTACAGGGACAATTTTAAACAAAGACCATTTTAAAAGACAATTTTATAAAGGGACAATTTAATACAAAGACAATTTTATGCAGGGACCATTTTAAACAGGGACCATTTTAAACAAAGACAATTTTAAACAGGGACCATTTTAAACAATGAAGGAGGTTCACATTTTTTGTTGTCTGCACTGATCAGGTAACATTATGAGTAATATGGGTGTTACCATAAAGCAGAACCACTTCCTCCTTTCTCACGTCATCAACTGTATAAAATCAGCAGCCGAGATTAAAAGAGACGGAAGCAACGTATATGGTTCAACTGACTAAAGCTCCATATACACGATCTTTGAATTTCATATTAACTACAGAGAGATGGGCTCTTTTTCCTATCATTAATATCAACTTGTGATTTGGGTGAAGGAATGCAGAATGTAAACCAGATCACGACTGTCCGGACTGTGGATCCAGCAGCATCACATTACGGTAAGATGGTGTTTTTTCTTTCCTGATTAGGTATCACTGTTTATGGGCACTGACTGTTTGTCTTTGTGTTTTAAAGTCAGAGTATATTTCTTAATTGCTGTAGCCAAGACATGAATATGAACAGTTGTTAGTTGTTAACTACAGAGAGATGGGCTCTTTTTTCTATCATTAATATCAACTTGAGAGTAGTTTTTTTTTAATTGCTTTTATTGCTATTATTATTTAGTGACTATGATAGTAACCTTACAAGTATTGGTCATATTCGAATGAAAAAAAAAAAAAACGGGAACAAAATTGCACAACTACAAATAAATGTGTGAACGTGCAAATAAAAACTTTCAGAAAATCACACAGAAAATCGAATTCTGTGAAAGTCAGAAAATAAATTTGTTCAGGGTGCACAGAACATCCAGGCAGCGCTCTCGCCCACTACTTCCTGGTTTCAGTTAACTAGCAATTCTGCCGCCATTTTAACCACAGAGCTGGTCGTGCACAATCATGCCCAATAAGTAATGTTGTAGTGGTTAGTATGTTGGGCTCCAGAGTCAGTGTTGTGAATCTAGGTAAGGTATGGTAAAAAGAAATTAAGATGTGGTTACTAACTTCTGATCATTTTGTCTGTTCTCATTCAGCTGTAACTCAGAAGGAAACTTGGAACAAGACAATCACCGCCCACAGTGGAGGTGTTGTCAGCACGCCTCAGTTTACTGATGTTCATGTGACGGGGAATATAAATTTCACTGTCAACAACACATATGGTAAGTGTGTCCTCTGAATTTCTAAATCAAATACAATTTTTTAAGGTAAACACAAGAAACTTGTGCTACAGAAAATATGTTGACTTGTGTAACTGACTATTTGAATTATTGTGTTTCTCTTCAAGTCCAACCTGCTGCCAGGACAGATGGGACTGATGTTATTACTCCCAAAACTGAAGGTATTGTGCTTTTCGCCAAAAAAAACAAAGAAAATCCTATTACTTTATTGGTTTTACTGCACTTTACTGCTGCACTGCATAAAATAAGATAATAATATAAATACTGCACACACACACTTTTGAGCAAGTGTTCCTCCTTGGGAAAAAGGATTTTCAAATCATCAGAACTGAGGGTGTGAAACAAGTCCTCATCAATGTTGGCAGTTATAAAGACAGTCATTATACATATATATATATATATATATTTGTTTTTATGTTTTTTATTTATAGTTATTTATTTTTATAGTTATTTTATTTAATTCCAAGTGAAGTTTACTGTCTCAGTGCACTGATGTCATTTTGGACATAAAGTTTATTGCTAAACTGTAAAATATCCTGCTTTCATTACATAACTTTAGTGTTTATATATACCGATATAACGATGCCCCCTAATATCGTTATCCGCCCCAAAAATCCAATATCAGTCGGGCTCTAATCACAATACACAATATATATCTTTAATATTTTTGAAATACTCAATTTAACCCTTGCATGCATAAAGTTACACCAGTATGATGATCTTTGCAGTCCCTGCAACATTTGTCTGTCTTAAATCATTCTTGTTTATATTAATTAGTGGTTTCTATTGGGTCTTGCAACAGGGCGCCCACCCACCGGACGGATGACAACAACTACATCTAAGTGGGCCACTGAAACAGGAGTGATGCAGTTGACCAGCAGTGAAGTCAACATACCTGTCACCCCAGATGAAATGTCTCAGCAGGAGCTTGAGCATGTTCAACCTTTGGATCATCAGGTAAGAGTATAAAACATGTATATCTATCATTATCTATATCACTATATTTATTGATTATTATATGATCAGTCCCTCTGTCAGAGCATTTTTTGTAACAGGAATATACACCAAAAAGACTCTGAGGGAATGTTTTAAGCAAGAATATATTTTTATTTCCATCTTTTACACTTTCAAAACATCACAATAATAAAAACGGAAAAGGGCCTGAAACAAAAGTTTGGGCTCCCTGCGTGGTCAGTACTTAGTAACGCCCCTTTGGCAAGTATCACAGCCGCAAAATTGTCTATTTTAACTTCATCAGTTCACAGGACTTGTTTCAAAAATGGATAAGCCTTGCTTAGATGCAAACTTCTGATTAGGGCCCGACCGATATGGATTTTTTGGGGCCGATTCCGATATTTGGGAATAAAAAATTCCGATAACTGATATATCAGCCGATTAAATTTTTCAATTTAAAAAAAGACGAAATACCTGTCTTTGATGGCTTGAATATAGTTCCAAACACTTGATACAAAGATATAAATTGAAGGGAGAACATTTTACTATTTTCAAATGCTTTTATTATCAGAAAGTGTGCAGAACAAGCAGCATATGAACAATTTGAACATAAAATAAATCAAAAATATGATGTGCAAAAAGGCAGTAAACCTCTATCTGTATGAATTAAGACATTTACTTTCACATGCCCCCTCAGTACCAGAGTTCTTCTTATTATTGCCAGTCTAACAGAGGTAGGCTATAGTGCAAAAAGCACAACTTTTTTAGTAAACATCTTTTAAAACAAACAATAAAAAAGTAACTGCAAAAGATTGAGGTATTTTTTTATGTGGGGCATAACGTCCCAGCAGCGGCTCACCGCGCCGCAGCGCTATCAATCCGTAGCAGTTCCATTTTTGACGCTCCCGTTGCTAAATCGCGTCAAGCTCAACAGAGTAGATTGCACCAGACAGGAAGTCAGACACAGTATCAAAGTAAAACACTTCCGCTCCCTTTCACAATAAAACACAACACGCACGTCATCTAACTTCACATCAACATTATGTATCAGAGCGGTTGATATTAACAGAGTGGCGACATCAAAAGCTGTCGCCACTCTGTTAATATCAACCGCTCTGCACTGTATCAAGAACAACGATCTCGCGTACGTTCCGTATTCTCGCGTGAATACGGCTGGCTCGCAAGGCAGCGCTGCGCTGCCGTAACACGTCCGGTGGCGATTGACGCGGGGCTGAGGACGGAGCAAAACCGCGACGCTGACGTTCCGCGGCGCTAACGGCCCCGGTGGAAATCCGGGCATAAGTCTTTACTATTTCACTCTGATGCGGTGTGACTGTGAAGCGTGACATGAAAGCAGTCGGAGCGTCCTCTACTGGATACGTAACACAAGGACATCATTTCTAAGAAAAATACCATATTATCTGCATTTTATTAGTGAAAAATAAGTGTAAACATCGGCGTCAATCGGCCAACTTTTGGCCGATTACCGATTATTGTCTAATGGCTATAATCGGCCGATTAAATGGTCGGGCCCTACTTCTGATGGTGAATTTTACAATGATGACTCTTCCATAAAGGTGTTGCTGCACAGTGCGACAGTGCACCACCACTCCAGAGTCGGATAAATCTTCCTGAAGGTCGTTTTCAGTCTAAATGGGGATTTGAAATCCTGCAAGCAGTTCTCTCTGAAAGTTTTCTTGGTCTTCCAGACCTGAACCTCCACTATTGTTGTTAACTACTTAACTGCCATTTCTTAATTATAATCTGAGGAAACGGCTGCCTTATGATGTCTCATATAGCATTCTGCACTGTCAGCAGCAGGTTTTGATTTTAGAGGAGCCCATGTGTGCTGATTGTTGATAAAAGGTTTGAGTTAGAGTATTTGGAGATGACTATGAACAAGCCATAACCCTAACCAGCTATTTAAAGTCTGAGACCTTAGTAAAAGTTAGCTTAGAGCGCAAATCTCTTGGGATGCCCAAACCTTTGTATGGAGCTCTTTTCCTTTTTTCGATCTAAAACTGTACAAAACAAATAAAACACTAGTCTTGCTTAAACTTTGAATAGTTTGAACACTTGAACTGCACTAACCTGTATGAAAAAAATGCTGTGCAAATAAAGTTTGACTGATCAATTATCCTTTGTCTTTTTTAATGTTTCAGAAGTCCATCGATGTTATTGCCTCTGAATTGAAAATACTAAAGCATCATACAGCTTGTATGGAAGACTGTAGGGTCCAAATAAAGAAGATCTTTGAAAACCCTTCAGACGGTACAAAGCAGCTCCAAGAGGAGGTTCTGGCAGCACTGAGAAATTTTCAGGATTCTTTCTCCTCATACTTGCTGGACAACACCATGCATTGTAACCCAATTCAACCAAAGAAGATCATCATGTCTCGACAGTTTCATAGAGATAAGAAAAGACATTTTTTTTGTGTAACCAAAAGAAGTTTTCTCTATATATCCCTTATTAAGAGTCTTGGACAGTTGTTGTCCAATTCCACAGTTTTTGATATGATCATCACCACACCACAGAGATGCCGAAAAGATGGCTTTTTGTGTGACATAATGGATGGGAGCCTTTTCAAATCCCACCCACTGTTTTCAAAAAATTCATCTGCTTTGCAGCTGATTTTGTTCGCTGATGAAATCCACATAAGTAATCCAGTGGGGTCACATGCGACTGAAAATAAATTACTGATATTTTATTATACTTTAGGAAACATAGACCCCAAGTTTAGGTCAAAGCCTTCTGCAATTGGACCTCTTGCTATTGCAAATGTTAATGATATTGACAAGTGTGGCTTTAATGTCATATTACAAGAAATCTGTAAAGACTTAAAGTTGCTGTATAATGGTGTCAAGATCCAAACATGCAATCGTGAAATTGATTTATTTGGTGCTGTAATTTCAGTATGCAGTTACACACTTGGACAACATGAGCTTACTGGGTTCAAGGAGGGAGTTGATTTTCCCTGTAAGCACTGTGAATGCACCTTAGAGGAAATGCAAAATAATTTTGTCGAACAAAGTTTTACTAAAAGGACGATGGAAAAACACAAACCACAGTGCGATAAATTGAAAAGGGCTGTAACATTCTTAAAATCAACTTTGAAACCCAACAATATAAAAAACAGAAAAGGCAAGTTAGTTGATTTTCCGTCCTTTGATGTTATTCAGCAAACTCCACGTGATATAAAGCACGTCATTCTTGAGCGAGTTGCACCCATGGAGATCAAGTGTGTGTTAAAACACCTAGTTATCTCTGGGCAGATGAATTTGAAACAGTTCAATTCAGACATACATGAATTTTGCTTTTCACTATCAGAAATACGTGACAAACCTGATCATATCAGTGTCAGTACCTTGGCATCTAATGATGACAAACTTAAACTGTCTTCTGGGCAGATGCTGACGCTGTTACAGATCATGCCTTTCCTGTTGAACTGTGTAGATAAAAAAACATGTATTCAGTTCGTTTTGGACTTGAGGGACATCGTTCAGATACTTTTTGCTCCTGTTTTATCTGTGCAAACTGTATCAACACTGAAAGAAATGATTGAAAAGCATCTGAAAAAGTTTAAGGAACTTTTTCCTGACCATAATATAACTCCAGAGCAACATTACATGCTGCATCTCCCTGCTCAAATTCTCTCTCTGGGCCCTTTAGGTCATATGAGCATGAGATTTGAGTCAAAGCATCTCGAACATTTATCAACAATATTAAACTTGAAAAATGTCTCTAACTTGCATGTAAACCACAATCAGCCTTTTGAATGTCGTCAAAATGACACAGAGAGTCCCATTTTAGGACATGAGAAGGAATTAGCTCCCGTCTCAAAAGGGACAAATATGGAGCACATTACAGCAAAGATCAGAGATCATTTCAGGGTTGATGCAGTACAACATGTTAACGCAGTTAAGCAGCTTATTCTCAATAGTAACAAGTACATTAGTGGAAGGTCTCTGATAATCATCAATGCAAATGGGACAGTACCTGTCTTTGGACTCCTAAAAAACATTTATGTTTTGAAAGACTGTTCATTGCATTGTTTCGAATATCAGCCTTATGAGACTCTAGGCTGGAATAAAGATCTTTTAGCATATGAAGTTGCTGTACCTAATCTAGCCCAGGAAACACGGTTGATAAATGCTGAAAAGCTAGTGGATCATATGTCATATTTTCCAATCAGTTTCAAAAACCGTGTGTATGTTACGACAAAATATATCCTTGATGATGTCATTGCTCTAAAAGAAGCATACTGACACTGTATGATGTAAACATAAACATACATAATTGTATGGGCTAGGCATAAATATGAAATTGTTCCAATTTCATATAGGTTTTATGTATAATTTTATAATTAAAATTATTTTTTAATTTTAATTTTATATGTGCACATATGTCATATATGTAAATGCAATACCCTGTAAAGTGCTGTGAGATCATGTATATTATGATATGGCACTATACAAATAGAATTGAATTGACTATATGACATTTGCTTGTGGGGGATTATTAGTTCATATGAACGTAGTCCCCCTTTGTATTCTGGCTGTAGCTCCTCTTAACATTGTGTTAAATGGATTTTATGGTCATCAATCAAATACACACATTGTGTTTTTGTTTAGTTTTTTTTTTGTTTGTTTATTGTTGTTTTTTAAACAATGTTGGTGTTAGATCTTGTCATTGTTTTTAATAAACATAATTGTTTGAATTTGGGAACTTTGTCTCTTGATATTTCATGTTGTATGGTTACATCCTCATCATACAGAGTCACACAGTATTTTCTCAGAACAAGATCAATAAGACTTTACAGCTAGATATAAGATTGCAAGTCTTGGTTAGGTCAGGACTTAAATGACATTAAAAAATTTCTATAAGAGTATTTTATTTTCTGTTGAACTGGGAGAAAAGAGATGCAGACATCTGTGTTTTGCACTGATGGGGTAGGATGAGTAATAATGGGTGTGAACACAAAGCAGAACCACTTCCTGCAATCTCTTGTCAACAAAGGCAAGTACAGCTGACATTAACAGAGACGGAAGCAAGTTTCATTTCAGCTCCACGTACACGAACTCTGAAGTTAATATTAACTACAGAGGGATGGGCTCTTTTTTCTCTCATATAACTGGGACTAGAGGAAACTGAGGTGGGAATGGAAATGCAGGAGGCTTTGTGATATAAAACTACTTTTATTATTTTCTGTGGCTTGTTTGTTCTTTACTCCTGAAGTTGGTGGCGTTGGGAGAAGCAATGCAGAATGGGAAACTGGATTACTTACTTTGCTGGCTGGGCTGTGGATCCAGCAGCATCACAGTGTGGTAAGATTTGTTTTTTCTTTACTGATTAAATATAACTGATTATGGATTATTGCTGCAGCAAAGACATGAACAGCTCTGTCTGAAGCAATTGGTCAGACTATAGTTACTACAGTAACTGTAAGACAGTTGATGTGACCCAACCTGTCTGGCCAGGAGAGTGTAAACCAGACTGACTGCAACTGGTTCACCAAGTTATGATTGAGGGACAAAAGCATCTAAATCATTGAGTTTGTGGAATGATGCTGAGAGGGAATTTCACAGCTTGTGTGTCTATGTCAAATATTTGCATGAATAAAAATAAATGTGTAAGCATGCAAATAAAAACCTCAGTTCCTGGTAGTTGTACTGCCAGCTTTATCATTTAATAGTACAACCACGGTAGGCTGTGTCTGAGGGAATTCATGATCATATCTCACTTCTTCCGTTTTAATCCTTACAGCTGTTTACACCAGCCATGTCTCCACCCACACCTCTTCACATTTTTGACATCTGAGGGAAAAGAAACAGTTTAACAGTTTAAGCCACTGTGCACTTCTTTAGTCTTTAGATTTTTTCCCCCACAAAAGCATTCGTCATTAAAAGTTACACTAACATTACACCAATCATCTCTCATTCAGTGAAATACAGATGACAGATTTCATCAAGTCCATTCGTAGTGTTTGTTTGTGTCCTGGAGGCTTTGATCTCCCACATCAAACCTGTTGCATCCGTCATTGGTTTCCAAACCAGTTGTGATGTCACAAATCCTACAGTTATATCCAGGTTTTAAACTTGGAGCTCAGAGAAACAGTAGGTTAAAACTCTGGACATACATCATTCTGCACAGTGAAGTTACAAGTAAGGATTTGTCCCGTGTCTAACAACAAAATTTGAGTAGCCAAATAAGTGACATTTATTGACTTTCAAACTAGAATGCATATTTTACAGTCTAATTAGCTCAAGTTGCATAGTCTTCTCCAGTCAGCAGGGCAAGATGTTGTTTGTTTTCAGTGTTAGTGTTAGTTGTTAAAACAGTGGAAGGTTTCAGAAGTGTACAAAGACAAACTCTGACTCAGCAGCAAGTTTCCTCTCTGTGGTTAATCTGCAGTTTCCTGCAGATTAACAATTGTTAATCTGCAGGAAACTGCAAACAAAATTGTGTTTGCAGGTCTGAACCCAGCAAACACAATTGTGTTTTTGTTGAGAGTCCCAGACAAGTTAAGTCAGCTTTATTTCATTGTTGTTGTTTTTTTTATTTAGTTTTTATGATGCCAAATCATAACACGAGACATGTCAGGGCACTTCTCATATAGAGCAAGTCTAGACTGTACTCTATACAATGTTATTTGCAGAGACCCAATTTTACCTCATGAGCAATCAATTGGCAACAATAGCAAAGAAAAAAACCCTTTTAACAGGAAGAAACCTCAAGCAGAACCAGGCACAAGACAGAAATACCTGCAGAGAGCAACAGGAGAAAAGAGATGAGAAAACACACAACTACAGGAGAGAGAAGAAGTCAAGTTAGTAAGATGTATTAAAGGGATATGAATCAGTACAGATGGAGAAAGAGAGGAGTAGAGGGGAGCTCAGTTCATCATGGCAAGTCCCCCAGCAGTCTAGGCTTATAGCATCATAACTAAGGAACTGTTCAGGCAAGCCTAAGCCAGCCATAACTATAAGCTATAAACTTTATCAAAGAGGAAAGTCCACCAATAATAAAACACAGGTTGAGATCAGGCAGGCCACTCCGCCCAGTCACCCACCTGCAGATTTCTCTAAATTTTCCCACATGAACGTCAAAGTCCCCCAGAAGAACAATAGAATCTCCAGATGGTGCCCTCGCCTGGACCCCCAGCCAGAAACTTCATAAGCACAGACAACAGTCAGAGCTTTCCTCTGCAACCCTGAATAGAGATGACCCTCTTATACCATGTCAATAAGTTTTATTGTAGAGCCAGTGCTGTTCAAAGAGATAAACTCATCTATATCTAGTTGGTACCACTCCAACTTCTATGTCATTAATACCCTGACTCAGCATGACATGGTTCCTGCCTTCGTTTGGTACCCATTTGGCAGTTCACCCAACCCTTTCGTCCAGTCTTGTGAGTGGTGGACACCAAGGCGTCCCATGTCATCTCTTCAGGCTGAGCATGACTGAGCTCGATGGGTATAGGTCCACCCCTGAGGCAGTCACAGTTCTCACAGCCCTGGCTCCAGGAGAGGGCTCTGGTCTCCCTCTTCTTGGCCTATGGTGATCCTACCGGGGGCAGTGGACCCCTTTCCTACAAACCCTCCTAACATTGTGCCAGCAGTCACATATGATAAATGCTATGGCTGGCTCTGGCAACATTTCCCACTGTACTCAAACAGGCTCAGGTAACTCCTAACTGACCCTGCTCAAGTGGAGAACTATCAACAATCTCCTTGATCCAAATCAGTTGGACCTTAAGACTGGCCACTCCACTGAAACGACCTAATTGTCCAGTCTATCCACCACAGTGTCAATATCAAAATCACCTATAAATCCCTTACTCCAGCCAAGGTCGCAATAAACCTGGGTGTCATGTTTGATGACCAGCTATCCTTCTCTGACCGTGTTGCATCTATCTGCATCCTGACTCAGTACGCCACCCAGCTTTTGGTCCAGGCCATGGTTATCTCTCGCCTCTACTACTGTTGGACCTTCCTTTGTGCACAGTGAAACCCTTGCAGATGGTCCAGAATGGAAGGCCCGTCTGGTCTTCGATCAGCCCAATAGGGCACATGTCACTCTGCTTCTCATGGACCTACACTGGCTACCCATGACATCAAATTCTCTAATGATGCCCTCAGAGGAACTTCTTTTTCTGCACCTATCTACTTGAACTCAACAGCTTTATGCTCATTCTCGGCCACTGTGTTCCTCAAAGGAATGTTGTCTGACATTACCATCCCTGCACATGAGAGACAATCTCAGTCCAGACTGTGGTTCCCTGATGGTGGAACAAGCTATTGCACTTGTTTACTTGATTACCAAGGTCTCCTACTGCACTCGTAGTAGTAGACTGTAGTAGGTTCCTCACTCGTAAGTTGATGGTAAATGGTAAATGGACTTGCACTTATATAGCGTTTTTCACTCAAAGCGCTTTACAATACTTGCCACTTTCCCCCCTTTCACTCACATTCATACATCACACTCATACACTGATGGAATTAGAACAATTAGGGATTCAGTATCTAGCCCAATGATTCTTCGACACGCGGCCTGGAGGAGCCGGGGATCGAACCACCAACCTTCTAGTTAGTGGACAACCCGCCTACCTCCTGAGCCACAGCCGGCCTTGGATCTCTTTTACATGTTGAACAATTTCGCCTTCCAAGTCAAGAAAAGTCCAACCAATGTTGTCTGGTTCATTTAAAGTTGCATGTGTATCAGTCCCCCATGTCACATTTTTACTGAGCTTTATTTGTTTACAAATATAAAATGAAATATATAATATAATATTTAGTTAACAAAAGGAAATCATTTTGTCTGTTCTCATTCAGCTTTACCTAAGATTGAAAATGGAAATATGACAGTCACGGCCCAGAGTGGAGGTGTCGTCAGCACACCTCAGTTTGCTGGAGTTCATGTGAAAAGGGATCTAACTGTCAATGTTAGCAACACATATGGTAAAAGTTTCCTTTCATTTATAAATCAAATACATTATTATGTGTTATGATGTAATTACCTAAAATTGAACGAAATTGCATTTTATTAATCGCGTGTTTCTCAAAAGATGTTCAATGTTTCTCTTTCAGTCCAACATCCAGCCAGGACAGATGAGACTGACGCTGTTTCTTCCAAAACTGAAGGTAACATGCTTTTCACAGTCTAATGACACTAAAAAACACTACTACTTTTACTGCACTTTGCTGCTAGTATAACATACTTGGAGTTAATTGTTATGAAGGTGTTGTAGAGTTGACACAGTTACTGGTTATTGAGTTACTGACCATCACCTGTTTTTCTGTTCTTCCCTGTCATCTGTACCTTTTACTTTATCTGCAACAGATATGGTTCAGGTCTGGTTCTTGGGCTTTGTTTGAGTTTGTCTGAAAACCTGCAGTATTTGCTAACTTGGAAGAAAATAAGATAATAAATGAAATGCATATAACTATACTTTTATTCATCTTTCAGAAAACGTCCCAAGGTGCCAAGCAAAACTTAAGTCTTACCTTCTAGATGAAACAAAGAATCTGTTTCAAGGGATAGACGAGGATGAATCATCAACTGCTTTGAACAAGATCTATACGGAGCTTTACATCACAAAGGGAGGCAATGGGGAGGTTAATAGTGAACACGAAGTGATTGAATTAGAATGTACAAGGAGTACAAGTGAGGAGAAGCAAATCCACCTCAATGAAATTTTTGAACCTTCATCCAATGAAGAGAACCCTCCTCAGAGAGTCCTGACGAAGGGAATTGCTGGCATTGGAAAAACTGTCGCTGTGCAGAAATTCACTCATGACTGGGCAAAAGGAACAGCCAATCAAAACATCCAGTACATATTTCCATTCACATTCAGAGACTTGAATTTAATCAAAGACAAGAGTTTCAGTCTTACTGAATTAATAGGTTACTATTTTGAAGAGGTGAAGGATTTGGAAACGTCAGACTACAATGATTCCCATGTCTTGTTCATCTTCGACGGCCTGGACGAAAGCAAATTCCCTTTGAACTTTAAGACTAATGAGATGTGCCGCAGTGTTACAAAGACAACAACAATAGATACCCTACTAACAAACTTAATGAACGGGAAACTGCTGCACCACGCTTTGGTCTGGATCACAAGTAGACCAGCTGCAGCCAGTAAGATTCCTCCTGAGTTCGTCAACAGAGTGACCGAGGTACGAGGCTTTAATGATGAGCAGAAGGAGGAGTACTTTCAAAAGAAAATTAGTGACAAAGATGTGGCTCAGAAGATCTTCAGTCATCTTCAGTCAAAGCCGTTGAGAAGTCTGTACATCATGTGCCACATCCCTGTGTTCTGTTGGATTTCAGCCACTGCTCTCCAGAGTCTCCTCACACACACTCATGAAAGTGAGTTGCCCAAGACTTTGACTGAAATGTACTCACACTTCCTGATCATCCAGACAAAGCGCAAACTACAGAAGGATTATCAGGAATGTGAAGCAGACAAAGATGTGATCATGAAGTTGGGAAAGCTGGCATTTGAACAGCTAAAGAAGGGTAATATAATCTTCTACGAAGACGACCTGAAAGATTGTGAAATTGATCCAAAACAAGCTGCAGTTTATTCAGGAGTTTGTACACAGATCATAAGAAAAGAATATGGTCTTCACAAAAAAGAGATTTACTCTTTTGTACATTTAAGTGTTCAGGAGTTTCTTGCAGCTTTGTATGTATTACAGACCTTCATAGATAGTGGAGAAAATCTGCTTCAGAGCAGAACGAGCGTGAGAGTGGCTAGTGAGGCAGGAGAAATTCCTATCATCCTCCTCTACAAGAATGCTGTGAATGAGGCTTTGGTCAGTGATTATGGACGATGGGACTTGTTTCTGCGCTTCCTGCTCGGGCTGTCGCAGGATAAAAATCAGAAGCTTCTTCAGAAAGGACTTGGATTCAAAGACAGACGTCCGCAGAGCAACCGGGAGACAATCAAGTACATTCACGAGAAGATCAAGAAACTGTCTTATACCGACAAGAGTATCAATCTGTTCCACTGCTTGAATGAGTTGGGTGACCAGTCTCTGGTAGAGCAAGTCCAAAAGTACCAGAGCTCAGGGGATGTTAGTAAAATTTCCCCTGCACATTGGTCAGCTCTGGCCTTTGTGCTGCTTGTCTCAAATGAAGACCTGGCCGTCTTTGACCTGAAGAAATACTCCAGATCAGATGAAGTTCTGGAGAGACTGGTACCAGTGCTCAAAGTAGCAAAGACAGCTTTGTAAGTATTTGGTATCAAAAAGCCCAACTACTGTGTTTAAATATGGAGAGTAAAATGTGAAAGTGCAAAATGTCAAGTCATTTTATTTTTCCCTTTTAGGTTGAGTGACTGTAACCTCACTGAGAGATGCTGCAGGTATATTTCATCAGTTCTCAACTTGAAGTCTTCTGGTCTGGAGAAGTTGGACATGACCAGAAATAAACTGCACGACCCTGGAATCAAGCTGCTCTCTGACGGCCTGAAAAGCCCCAACTGCAAACTCCAAAGACTCAGGTAAAATCATCCTTCATGTTAGGTAGCAATTCACAGATGCACTGCATACTTATGTATGAAACAAGCAATAACAACTGTAGGACACAGAAATGGAAAGTAATCATCTTTCTTTTCTGTCATGGAGCAGATTTTACATCAGTGATCATGTCCATTTCCAGTCTCTCTTTTCTACTCTGTCCACAGTGTAGAAAACCAATAAATGTGCCTTTTGTTTCCTTTTGTTTAGTTTGAACGAATGTAGTATTACAAACAAAGGATGCGTGTTTCTGGCCCGTGGTCTGACTTCAACCTTGAAAGAGCTGGACCTGAGCAAGAATAAAATTCAGGATGAAGGAGTGAAGCTGCTTTCAGAAGTTCTCAACAAGTGTTCTTTGGAAACACTGAGGTAAGATGTTAACAAGGTATGATTTTGCTACTCTAAGGGTGCGTTCTTGTGTACATGGACGAGGCAAACAAACCAAGGACCCACTCATAGAAAAAAACTGTTTCGTAGCGATTAAAGACTACACACGGTACCTTTAACATCTTCATAATAAGAGCAGGGAAGGAATCAGGACCCTTCATAGCAATCTGCTTGTACACTTCTTGTTTAGAAATGTGAATTTCACCCTGATGGTGGTGTAAAGGGCCGAGTATGATTCATCCTCTGGGGACCCTTAATTTCAGGAGCAAATTTTAGGACCACCTCGCCAATAGTTGACCAAAAACTGGGTGTCTATCTTGTCTGCAGGTTATGTGACTGTGGCATTACAAACGATGGACTCGAACCTGTGGCTTCAGCTCTCAGCTTGAACCCATCTCATCTGAAAAACCTGGATCTGAGCAGAAACAGTTTTAAAGGCCAGGCAGGTTCTCAGCTCTCTGGCTTTCTGAAGCATCCCGACTGCCAGCTGGAGAGATTATGGTAAGCTTTGGCAAAGGCAAAGGACACACACTCATCATCAAACCGGTACCAGTCACTACATATTAAGGCTCTAAAAGACATTTTACCACCTCTAACTTTCTGCTCTCAACTAAGCCCAGCTAACTACATTGTGGACTGATGACTAGCTTGATAGCTAATAGAATACGGGTAAATAAGAGTTATGAGTCACGCTAGTTTAACTTTTGATGGTGGAAGGCTAGCTGTTAGCCGGCTAGCTTCTCTGGCAGGTGAAAAGAAGCAGCTGGAAACATCATCGTGCTATAGAGGCAGTGGATGTCTTGCTTACTCCTTCCTAAACAGTTAGCACTGACTATGACCACAGTGTTTAGTAAAAAGGAAAACAACACTTTCAAGCTGTGTTGGCATGCAAACCAAACAAGACTAGGCAACCTTTGGGACTTTGAAAAATAAGACTGTACAACATCTATTGTTTTTCTAAAGGCTTTTTAAGACGAACCTAGAAGAGAAATGTTCTGCAGCTCTGGCCTCAGCTCTGGCTTCGAACCCTTCCCACCTGAGGGAGTTGGATCTGGGAGCGAACAATCTGGGTGATGTCGGAGTGACGGAGATTGCTGCTCTACTGAGGGATCCAAGCTGCAAAGTGGAAGCATTGAGGTGAGACAGTCCTCATACTTAAAGTGATGAGACACCAGACACACGCTGCTAAATGTGCAGTGGTTGCTAAGTTAGTCTAGATCTCAGGTAACCAATCAGACTCTCCACTGTCATGCCCAGGGTTGGCAGAGGCAGGCAGGAACAGTCAAGTGCTTTAATTGTCGAAATTCAAACTTACAGGCAGTGCAGGCAAAAATATGGGCTGGCAGGCAGGTAAACAAGAAAACAGGTGAACACATGAACGGGAGTGAAACAGGTCCAGGAACAAGTCCAGAAACTCTCAGGAACACATGATTTCTGGAACAACAAAGAGACAAACTGAAAATGATTGTGAACTGAGGGCAGGCAAATGAAAAAGATCTAGTAGACCGGACAATGTAGGAGCTGAATGATACCGAAAAGTGGCAGCAATGCAACTACTCAGATGCCAGCTGCCGTTAAACACTATTGAATAAGAAGAAGAAGAAGAAAGCTGCTTCCCCCAGGAGGACTTGGAGGACATGGCTGCTGCAATTGTGACTAAGACCAGCATCAGTGGAAGAAAACGGATGGATGGATGGATGGATGGAGACTCTGTGGAGCTCAAGTCACTGCCACTGCATGTTACCACCCTTAAGTTAAAACTGTTCTTCCCAACAGACTGGCTGGCTGTCGCTTCACAGAGAAGGGCTGTGCTGCGCTGGTCTCCAATCTGAAGTCAAACCCCGCCCACCTGAGAGTTCTGGATCTGGCGAGAAACGACCTCAGAGACCGCGGTGTCGAAAACCTGACTGAGCTGTTGGCAGATCCGCACTGTCGTCTGGAGACACTAAAGTGAGTGTTGTGGCTGTTATCTGTCTCACATTCAGGCAGAGGTAGTTTTATTAGGTATATGACGCCCTTATCACATTAATACTCACAACTACACTATAATGTAGTTGTACACACATACATGATCATAACTTTTTCTTTATTTTACATCTATGTTTTACTATATTGTCATGATAATCAGTTTAAACATCAGCCTTCACTTGTGGGTGTCCACAGGAAGATTTATAGTTGTTAACAAATACATTAATAAACATTTAAATCTGCTTACAACTACAGTATAGTGTGTTATTGACCACTGTTGACCACATGTTGCTTATAAATGCTCATAATTATTGGAGGACTTAGAGTCACGTGTTGCCAACTTTATTAATCAGAGACATGGATGAAGCTCTGGGGAGAATGAATGTTTCACGGCCATTTGCTCATTAGATTCTTTTATTTCCGTGTGGAAACAAGGAAATTTTGTTGTTTCTGTGCTAAAGTGCAGGTCAGTGAATCATCGAAATCATCCAGACTGATCATATGGAGACCAGAAACTTTATTGAAACTAACTAACTCTAATCAATGAATCTGTCTGATACATTTCCACTAAAAGATCTGAAAACTGTATTTAAATGTCTCCTTCCAGCCTGAAATGCTGCACATTAACGACGGCCAGCTGTCGGCCTTTGAGCCTCGCCCTCAGTGGTCTCTCTGCCCTGAAAGAACTCGACCTGAGCTTCAACCGCCTGATGGATGAGGGGCTGACGGTGCTCTCTGATTGGCTGAGTACACCTGAGTGTAGACTGGAGGTACTGAGGTGAGACTTCTCAGACAGTTTTATTTAGATCAATGCTAAAAACAACTTTTCTGTTATTTTTTCTCTGGTCACTAGTTCTGTGAAATAATAAATATAATTTATGTCACCTGACAGCCAAAAAGAAAGTAGTGTTTTCCGTTACTGTGGTATTAAAAGGATGTGGTTCACCCTCAGGTTGTTAGAGTGCACAGAGAGCAGCTGTGAGGCTCTGGCCTCAGCTCTGAGGTCGAACACTTCACACCTCAGAGAGCTGGAGCTGAGCAAGAGAGATCCAGGAGACGCAGGTCGGAGGCTGGTGTCCCATTTACTGAAGGACAAACGTTTCAAACTGGAAGAACTGAAGGTGAAGGAGTGATCAAACATCTGAACAGTGACACTGAATGATGGGTGATGTCATGAAATAGCGTGGGATCATGGGAGTTGTTGTCTTCACTACCGTTACCTTAAGCTCCTCCTGGTTTGGATTCCTTCAGTGTCAGTGGTTCAGGAAATCAAACAGACCCGGTGATTCTAACCGTTAAAAACACTGAATGAAGCAGTTTGACATTTAAAGTCAGAGTCTGAGTGACGCTGTACGGAGGACAGAGACTCAGGGAAGAGTCGGAGCTGAGGCTGATGCTAACCTTTGTTCTGATTGTTTCTCTGATCGCTCATGAACCAGACGTTCAGCAGGTTTTTATCTGCAGCTGAATGATCCACAGAGTTTCCTCCTCTCCACAACAAACACACCAGGGGATTAAAACCGAAAAAGGAATTTTTTTTTTTTTTTTTTTTTCTCATAATGTTTTTAGATACTCTCCACCCTTTAAAAAAAACTGGTGTTTTCAAAGAAGATTTATAAACGTAGATTTTCATCCAGAGACTTTCTGAGCTGCTCCAGGTCCCTCAGACCAGGTGTGAGTCCCTGAGACACCTGCTGGACGTCCAGCTGGACGGTGGACAGGACGTCCTCCGGCCTGCTCCTATTACACACGAGAGCAACAGAAATACTCCATTACAAGTAAATTTGCTGCATATTTGCAACAAATTGTACTTCAATCATTTGATCATTATTATGGGTATATCAATATGTAAGTGGTACTGTAATGTTGTAATTACAGACCTACCAACCTGTACACATCTTGACATCAAGGTACAATGGTAGAATTTTCAAGCTAGCTAGCTACCAGCCATTTAAGCCGGTAAGGTAACGTTAAGTTATATTATCCGTGTGTCGCAGACTGTTAAATGTGACTTAGCACTAAATAATGTTTCCTAGAAAGTGTGTGTGTTTGTAGAAGCCCCATTGGCTGATATGTTTTATTTTTTCTGTCTCATCCCCACCCTACTAACTTTTTGTGATGACCCGGGTGAAGGCCACTAACTGAAACACGTCAATCAAACAATAAAGTTGTTCTGTGTACTGCAAGTGTTGCTGGAGTCTTCACCCCTTTAGAAGTAGGTGAAGTTGTGGCAGAAACCTCTAATCTGAGTTCAGTATCTTCAAGCGGCCTCGCCCAGAAACCAGTAATTCTCTTTGACTGCAACATGAGCCAAGTATCCTCCCATCTCCTCATAGACCATGGTACTACAAGTTCTCATTTTAAGCTTTTAGATATACTTAGAAATTTACCGTGTGGTTTTTCTACCATGTCAATTTAAAGCCCGCAGAATTTACATGCATATAACATTTAATTTTATTTAACATTTACTTGTAAAGTGCTTTTCATACAAACAATGTAACACAAAGTGCTTTACAAAATAAAAGCAATAAAAACAATCCCCGCAACCCCGTCCACACACACACTGACACATGAATGAATGAATTATAAATAAAAACAATAACAAGAAGACAAAAAGAGGAACTGAGGAAACGCTTTCATGAACCTCATAAAGTTGCATTGAGGAAACACCGAAGACAGGAAGACAAAGAGAAATATTGAATAATAATACTGAAACAAGAAATGTAGAAAATTCGATGTACCTGTAGATAGTTTTGATTTTGTTAATCACTTCACATATCTCCTCTCTTTTATTGTTTTATTATTTCATCTTTATAATTTTGTCTTTATTTTTATTTGTCTTTTAATACCCTACCTTTTATTTGTAGTTTGTACTCACTTCAATACATTTACTAACAAGCAGCTCCGGATTCCTGTTTACACAGAGTGGAAATTTTAAAATGAGCCATTATGATTCATTGAGATACCAAGACATTTGAAATGGACGAAAACTTTATTAGTAGTAAGTGAGTATTATGGGCGGTAACAGAACAGAACACTTCCCCCTCCCTCACATGGTCAAATTTGACTTTCATTTCTGCTTCATGTGCTTAAATGAACTCTAGAGTTAATATTAACCACAGATGGATGTGCTGATGAGCTTTGTTCTCTCATTGCTGACAGCTGAGTTTACGGGAAACTGAAGTGGATATACAAATGCAGGAGGAGGCTTTGTGATATTGCATTCATTTCTGTGGAGTGTTTGTTCTTTACCCCTGAAGTCAGTGGAGTTGGGTGAAGGAATGCAGAATGGGAAACTGGATAACAACCGACCAAGATGATGATCCAGCAGCATCACAGTGTGGTAAGATGGTGGTTTTTCTTTCCTCAGTATCACAGTTTATTATACTGACTTTAAAACATCAGGACAAACAGCCACAGTTATTCCTGTAGGAGGTTTGTATGAAGCAGAAAGAAATAAGTGAACTGACTATTAACTGTACGACAGACTAACTGAAACTGGTTAACCATATTGATGAGTGTTAGTCTGATGAATGTGGGGCAAAAAAAACGGTGTAAAACATTATGAGTTTGTGGAATGATGTTCGGGAGGAATTTTTTTGTGGGCAAAAAAACAAAAGCAAAAGAGAATAGTAAAAAATTACATGACGACAAATAAATGTGTGAATGTGGAAATAAAGTATTTGTTAATTCTGTGGAAATCAGAAAAACTATTTGCTCAGGGTGCACAGACTATGCGTCCGGCACTCACCACTTCCTTGTTTCACTTCTTGGCACTTCTGTCGCCAGTTTAATCATTTATTACCACAGCTGGTCATGCTTGAGGGAATTAACTATTATGTCTTATAAGAAGCAGCCCAGTATAAAAAAACTGGGCTCCGTAAATGTGCAACCTCAGTGGGCATTCTTCACCGTTTTAATACCTCGTGGCTTCCCTTTAGCTTTCAAATTCTACGTCTTCTGCAGAGCACATGTTCATCAGATTCAGGAGTTCATCAAAGTGTTTCCTCCAACATTTGACAATATCTTTAGTCGTCATCTTTCATCCCTGAGTGGGCTCCAGAGCCAGTGCTGTGAATATAGGAAAGGTCGGGTGTTGACAAAAGGAAATTAAGTTGTCGTTCCTGGCTTCTGATCATTTTATCTGTTCTCATTCAGCTATAACTCAGAAGAAAACAGGGAACATGACGATCACCTCCCACAGTGGAGGTTTCGTCAGCGCACCTCAGTTTACCGGTGTTCATGTGAAAAGAGATCTAACTGTCAACAACACATACGGTAAATGTTTCCCCCCTGAATTTATAAATCAAATACATTATTATTTTTAATAGTGTAATTGCCTAAAATTGAACAAAACCCATTTAGTCATTTTGTGTGTTCCTCAAGAGCCGTTGTATGTTTCTCTTTCAGTCCAACTTCCTGCCAGGACAGATGAGACTGATGTTTCCCCCGAAACTGAAGGTAACATGCTTTTCACAGTCTAAGGACAAAAAGAAAAAGAGTTGCTACTGCTTTTACTTCACTTTTCCACAAGTAGAATTTACCCAGCGTGAATTGTTATAAAGGTGTTGTAGAGAAGAAGGAATCTCATCATGTCGCCGGATCGGCCTCTCCAATAAGGTACAAGTTCCGCCTGCTGAGTTTTTATCAGTTGTGTAAAAGCAATAAAAAAAGTTGCCATATGAATTAAACAAGTTTGGTAAGTGATATAAAAGGTTACAGTTAGGACAGTTTAACGGTTATCCTAAAGTTTGGAGCGTTTATTCAAGGTTTTGGGAAGTTAGGAAGCTTCTGTAATACACTTTTCCTACCTGAAGTTAGTATCAGAACTTTGACATCTGTAATGGATTTTTGCCTATATAGGTCCTAAACCTAATTACCATGGTTACCAAACAGTTAAGATAGGACCTAGAGGTTAGAAATTTTTTTGTAGTTTCTGTATATTTGAGCTGTGTCCCAATTCAGGGGCTGCATCCTTCCAAGGTTGCAGGGGCAGCTGCACTGAACTGAACCATAATTAGACGGTTTTGCCAACGGCGCATTTGCATCACCAGCTGTGCCCGCCCTTACCATTGCGTCACAAAGCGCGGCTCCTGTGGCCTAGCAACTTTGACAACACATACCGGCACGCAATGACTCTTGGGACAGGTCTGGCCATGAAGGATCCATCTGTTGGAGTCTTCGTTGCCTGGGGAAAGAAGCCTGTGTTTCTCGTTAGCCTGGTCATGACAAAGCGACGCAATCAGTCTTCAAATGCAGCCTCCAAAGGTTGCGGGCCCCTGAAGTTTGGACACAGCTTTGGTGTTTCAAGTTTGTCCAAAAAACCTTGCCCACATGCACATGCTTACTTTACATGATACTAGCAAATGATTATCATTCATATAATTCTATTTTTATTCATCTTTCAGAAGACATCCAAAGGTGCCAGGCTGAACTCAAGTCTTACCTTCTGAATAAAACAAAGAATCTGTTTCAAGGGACAAAGGCGGATGGATCTACACCTTTGAACAAGATTTATACGGAGCTTTACATCACAGAAGGAGACAGTGGGGAGGTTAATAGTGAACACGAAGTGATTGAATTAGAATGTACAAGGAGTACAAGTGAGGAGAAGAAAATTCACCTCAATAACATTTTTGAACCTTCATCCAATGAAGAGAACCCTCCTCAGAGAGTCCTGACGAAGGGAATTGCTGGCATTGGAAAAACTGTAGCTGTGCAGAAATTCACTCATGACTGGGCAGAAGGAACAGCCAATCAAAACATCCAGTACATATTTCCATTCACATTCAGAGACTTGAATTTAATCAAAGACAAGAGTTTGAGTCTTACTGAGTTAATAAGTTCCAATTTTGAAGAGGTGAAGGATTTGGAAACATCAAACTACAACAACTCCAGTGTCTTGTTCATCTTCGACGGCCTGGACGAAAGCAAATTCCCTTTGGACTTTATGAATAATGAGATGTGCCGCAGTGTTACGGAGGCCGCCACAGTCGACATCCTACTAACCAACTTAATCAACGGGAACCTCCTTCACAAAGCCTCAGTCTGGATCACAAGTAGACCAGCTGCAGCCAGTAAGATTCCTCCTGAGTTCGTCAACAGAGTGACCGAGGTACGAGGCTTTAATGATGAGCAGAAGGAGGAGTACTTTCAAAAGAAAATTAGTGACAAAGATGTGGCTCAGAAGATCTTCAGTCATCTTCAGTCAAAGCCGTTGAGAAGTCTGTACATCATGTGCCACATCCCTGTGTTCTGTTGGATTTCAGCCACGGCTCTCCAGAGTCTCCTCACACACACTCATGAAAGTGAGTTGCCCAAGACTTTGACTGAAATGTACTCACACTTCCTGATCATCCAGACAAAGTGCAAACTACAGAAGGATTATCAGGAATGTGAAGCAGACAAAGATGTGATCATGAAGTTGGGAAAGCTGGCATTTGAACAGCTACAGCAGGGCAATGTAATCTTCTACGAAGACAACCTGAAAGATTGTGAAATTGATCCAAAACAAGCTGCAGTTTATTCAGGAGTTTGTACACAGATCATAAGAAAAGAATATGGTCTTCACAGCCAGGAGTGTTACTCTTTTGTACATTTAAGTGTTCAGGAGTTTCTTGCAGCTTTGTATGTATTACAGACCTTCATAGATAGTGGAGAAAATCTGCTTCCCAGTCAGACAAAGGGGAATGCGACACCAGTGAGAGGAGAAATTCCTATCATCCTCCTCCACAAGAATGCTGTGAATATGGTCTTGAAAACCGATCATGGACAATGGGACTTGTTTCTGCGCTTCCTGCTCGGGCTGTCGCAGGATAAAAATCTGAAGCTTCTTCAGCAGAAACTTGGATTCAAAGGAAAACGTCTGCAAAACAACCAGGAGACGATCAAGTACATTCACAATAAGATCAAGAAACTGTCTTATACCGACAAGAGTATCAATCTGTTCCACTGCTTGAATGAGTTGGGTGACCAGTCTCTGGTAGAGCAAGTCCAAAAGTACCAGAGCTCAGGGGATGTTAGTAAAATTTCCCCTGCACATTGGTCAGCTCTGGCCTTTGTGCTGCTTGTCTCAAATGAAGACCTGGATTTGTTTGACCTGAAGAAATACTCCAGATCAGATGCAGTTCTGGAGAGACTGGTACCAGTGCTCAAAGTAGCAAAGACAGCTTTGTAAGTATTTGGCTTCACGAAACCCAACTACTCTGAAGCACTTGTTGATTAAGTATTGAAGGACAGAGGAAAATGTTTCTGAAAATGACATTTTGTTTTTCCCTTTAGGTTGCGTGACTGTAACCTCACTGCCAGATGCTGCAGGTATATTTCGTCAGTTCTAAGCTTGAAGTCGAACGGTCTGGAGAAATTGGACCTGACCAGAAATAAACTGCATGACTCTGGAATTACTCTGCTCTCTGACGGCCTGAAAAGCCCCAACTGCAAACTCCAAAGTCTCAAGTAATAAGATCGTTACACTGATTCTGATTTTTTTTTTTTTTTAATGTGTTTATTAATTTTCAATAAGCAGACATACAAAAGACAAGACTAGACAAAATAATAAAACAACAACAAGCTGGGAACAACAACAGAAAAATCAAAAACCCAAACCGTAGGATCAGTTCCAGATAGATGTGACAGGTACATTATACAGTATAGAATGAGAAACAGTGGGAGCCGAGAAAGAAGAGAAACCAAAACAGAAAGAAAAAATCCAACAACCCAGAAACAAAACACAAGAGCATTTTATATAAATGCCCTTTTCAGTATAGCAGAGATGTTTACATTAATATAGTCAAGAAATGGTCTCCATATTCTTTCAAAGGCATTAGTTTTGGAGTGCAAAAGACAGGTAAGGAAGTCCAGAGGTATGTATTACATTATTGTCCTGTGCCATCCCACCACTGAGGGGGGTTTATCTGAAATCCAGTGCTGTAGAATATTTTTCCTGGCACAGAATGACATAACATTATACAGTTTCTTTTGGTACATATCAGTCACATGATCACTGGGAAGGCCCAGAAGGAGAGAAACCGTGTCGAGATCGAGGTCCTTCTTCAGAACCTTTTGCATTTCAAATAAGACATCACTCCAATAATTTTGTATTTTCACACAGGACCAGAAACAGTGAGAAAGATCACCAATTTCTGTCGTACATTTAAGACAGAATGGAGAGACTTCCTTCCTGTATTTGGAGAGACGGTTTGGACCAACATGTGCTCTATGCAGTATCTTAAATTGCATCGCTCTTGTCCAGTTACAAACAGTTATTCTTCTCGCATTATCCCAGATTTTCTCCCACATCTCCTCAGTAATCACAACACCCAGTTCCCTCTCCCAGACCACCCCCAGCGTCCGAGCGCTGAGATTTGAGCTGTCTCTCAGACCGGTATAAAAGTTTGTAATGGAAGCATGGCCCTGAGAGAGAAGTACTTGTTTCTCTATCTGTGTGACACTCGTATCAGCGAGCAGAGATGTATCCTTTACAATAAAATCTCTCACCTGAAAGTAACGAAAAAGATCATTTCTTGATATGCCATATTTTTCCATAACTTGACTGAAAGACATGAGGGTAGGACCATCAAAGAGATCACCCAGGGAAGAGATACCCCCAGCTGTCCAGCCCTTAAAAGCCCTATCCAAGGTTCCCGGGAGAAAGTCAGGGTTATCAGCGATCGGAGTAAAAAACGACGTAAACCCTGATCTGCCCTCCATATGTCGTGTGAATCTCCATGCTCTAACTGATTCTGATTTTTAAAAGACTTGACCCATTATATCGAACACTGATCAAAGTGAACTAATACCATATCCAGACCAACAAAAGTGGCAGTCTATCCAAAGAAGTTAATGGAATAACCAGTAATTATATGTGTATTATACAGTATGTGACAATGAAATAAATCAGAATTCACATTAAATATAATGTTTTCACATGTGTATTATGCTTCTTTTTTAAGACTGAATGGCTGTCACCTGTCAGAGAGAAGCTGTGAAGCTCTGGCCTCAGTTCTCAGCTCACAGTCCTCTACTCTCAAAGACTTGGACCTGAGTAACAACGACCTGCAGGATTCAGGAGTGAAGCTGCTCTCCACAGGACTGGGGAGGACACAATGTACCCTGGAAACTCTCAGGTCAGGAGACAAATGTTTGTTGAGCATTAACAGTGCAGCTTTACAGACAGATGAATGTTTGAGAAGATATTTAATAAATCTGTAGGATTTTACCTTTTAGACTAGTCTTAAATATGTAGTGCCTTCCTTCTGGAATACAAGTTTTTGTCCTACTTTAGTTAACTTAAGGACAATTAATTGTTTTCTTTCATTCTGCCTTTATTGTTGAGTACTCTACACTGATAATCAATAATGTTAGTAGCAGCACAACTGAGCTTAGCCAGTGGTGGTTAATATTCTCATAGAGGCAGACGACTATAACACACCTCAAAATTATTAGTTTACTCATATGAGCGTGTGTCTCCAGGTTGTCAGGCTGTCAGGTCACAGAGAAAGGTTGTTCTTTTCTGGCCTCAGCTCTGAGCTCCAACCCCTCCCATCTGAGAGAGCTGGACCTGAGCTACAATCATCCAGGAGACTCGGGAGCGAAGCTGTTGTCTGCAGAACTGGAGGATTTACAATGTAGACTGGACACTCTTAGGTATGAGAGTTTATTGTGGACTTAACTTGGGTAATTTCTTAGAAATTGTATCACAATTGTCAATTTGCCAACTTATGAAGAGGGACATGTAATTGTCACATATTTAATTTCAAAGCATTTTCTACCACTTCTGTTTTCACATTAAATGTAGAGACTAATGTTTTCACATTTGTCTAATGCATCTTTTTTTAAGACTGAATGACTGTGACCTGAGAAAGAGAAGCTGTGAAGCTCTGGCCTCAGTTCTTAACTCCCAGTCCTCTAGTCTGACAGAGCTGGACTTGAGTAACAACAACCTGCAGGATTCAGGAGTGAAGCTGCTCTCCACAGGACTGGGGAGGACACAATGTACCCTGGAAACTCTCAGGTCAGTAGACAACTATTTGTTCAGTAGATGACCATTTACAGTGAGGCTTTCCAGAAGGGCTTGTTACGTTTGTGTGTCTCCAGGTTGTCAGGCTGTCAGGTCACAGAGGCAGGTTGTTCTTCTCTGGCCTTGGCTCTAAGATCGAACCCCTCCCATCTGAGAGAGCTGGACCTGAGCTACAATCATCCAGGAGACTCAGGAGTGAAGTTGTTGTCTGCTGAACTGGAGGATCCACAATGTAGACTGGAGACTCTCAGGTATGAACAGACTACAGGAGCTCAGACATTGTTTCTCTGTCACATTGACAAGCAGCACTGGTGATAACAGTAACCGACATGCTGAAAGTCCCTGTTCCCATTGAGACTGACCTCCTAACTAATGTCAGACCAGGATCTGTGTGGATAATGTATTACTGTTTGGCAGACTGCACTTTGACATGAAGAACTGCTTCACTTTAGTCAAACACAGTTCACAAAAAAACTACTGCATATTGTTCCAATAAGATAAATAACCCCGAGGATTATCAATGATGACAGAGACCTGGTACTGGTCTAAGCAGTTTCTGAAGGTTCACTCAGACTTTGTTTCCTCTTCCAGGTTGGAACATGGTGGAAAGCAGAGGCTGAAATCTGGTCTGAAGAAGTGTAAGTTTGTCCTTTGATTCATGAGAACAAGACATCTAATGTTAAAACTGTTTAAATAAAAAGCTTATGTATCTGCATTCAACTCTCAGTTTAAGAGAAGATCCAAAAGGCGTGTCTTTCTGAATGTTTTATCTAATGAACACTCAGTCTGTTAAAGGCTCTGTAAACGATAGATATGGAAATATTATGTACCTATCAAGTTACTTACACATCGAGGAGAAGAGAAAACAGTTCTGGGTCAAGCTGGAGCTCTTTAGCAGCTCGTAGAATTCTCCCCTTGGTAAACCCAGCCCCAGTATTGGCTCCATGGTCAGACTGGGAAAGAAATTCAGCCTTGGACTTATCCGCTAGGACCGGCCGCACGAATGACATTGATGGAGCAGGTAAAAATGTTAAAAAATTGAATAGATGCTTTGATCCTCCACCGGCCGACCGGGATTTGAGCTGGTAGTCCCCATGTCCAGTCCGCCTGTGCTCTGGTCTGATCTCTTTCTTTGTCGGAGGCCTTTTGAGGAAATTCTTGAAGGTGGCTTTCACCTCAATGCATATATAGAGGGGGTGTGACTTCATTGTCTGCTATATTATTGTATATAGTTGTATATACAAATAAACCCATCTGGTTCATTAGATGATAAACTGATGGCGTGTTGTGTCTTGTTCTCTCCATCAGACGCCTGTGAACTCACACTGGACAGAAACACAGCTCACAGAAACCTCAAACTGTCTGACAACAACAGGACAGTGGTGGCAGTGAGAGAGCGGCAGTCATATGGTTATCATCCCGAGAGATTTGACCACTGGCATCAGCTGCTGTGTAGAGATGGTCTGACTGATCACAGTTACTGGGAGGTCAAGTGGGAGGGAAAGGTTCAAATATCAGTGACCTACAGAGGGATCAGAAGGAGAGGGCGTAGTTTTGACTGCAGGTTTGGAGAGACTTATCAGTCCTGGAGTCTGAGCTGCTCGGATGATGATGGTTACTCTGTCAGTCACAATAAGAAAAGAGTCGACCTCCCTCCATGCTCTGACTCTAACAGAGTAGCAGTGTATGTGGACCGTCCTGCTGGTTGTCTGTCCTTCTACAGAGTCTCCTCTGACTCACTGGTCCACCTCCACACCTTTAAAACCACATTCACTGAGACTCTTTACCCTGGGTTCTGGGTTGGATCGGGTTCCTCAGTGTCTTTGTGCTCATTGTAGGAGTGATTCACTAATGTCTGTCTGGTGTTCTTCCAGAACGGGAATATTAATGGGTGTATCTTATTTAGCTTTATTTCTTTTGGGTTTTTTTTTTATGTATCTGTATGTTCATCTGTAGTTAAATGTTTATACAGAGATCAGTGTTTTACCTGCCCTTTTTTCAAGCATCATTCTAAATTGGTTTAAAATTCGGATGAGTCAGTCCCCCGAGCACTTGTTGTTTTGATTGTCTTAAAGGAGCTATTTATACATATATAGTTTTGCTATTGCTACATAGCTAATGTTAGTATTAACAGCTGTTTACTTACCAGTCGAGAAGAAATGTGTCTTATCAAAGTTTAACTCTGAACTACCAGGTAAAAATTTTGACCCTTGTTTTTACAACTGAAACTGATTGGACCATGACAAGACATTGGTGAAACAGATGTAAGTAAAAGAGTAAAGGAACCACAGTTATCACACTTCATTTAATAAAAGAAAACTTTATTCTTATTGTTTCTTTCCTGCTCAGTTGCCTGATAAAACCCTGAGTCATGTTTTTCACAGAAAGGTTCAAGCGTTTTAAAAAGCATTTATTGTCATAAACGAGTTATTTGTAAGTTTTGCTATTGCTACATAGCTAACATTAGCATTAATAGCTGTTTACTTACCAGTCTAGAAGAAACATTGTGAGTTCAGCATCAAACATCATTCATTCACTCACCAAGAGCTGTTTCCAGAGGTGGAAAACAACAGTGTTATCTCTTGTTTTGCTTCTATTTCTGTCACTTAATTCTCTTCTCCTGAAGTAAGCATGCTAACACGCTAGCCCTGTCCAGCAAGACCTTCTTGTCACTTTCTGACACAGAGTCACTGCAGCATCCAGGCTGCCCTGAAGAAGTTGCTGCTCACAGGATGTATTATGACCTCCTGTCTTGTAAACACAACGATGGCTGAAGCTCTTTGAAAGACTGGTAAGTAAACAGCTGTTGATGCTAACTTTAGCTATGTAGCAATAGCAATACTTACAAATGGCTCCTTTAAGTACCTTGTTGTCTTTCTTAATGACACACCAAACCTACTTTCTCTCTTGATTCCATATAAACATAATCTCTACAGTGCATATCCTTTGTCTTTACAGCAACAATAAAGTGACAAACAAACTATGATTGAGTTTTAATTGAAGACTATGAAACCACACTAACCTGAACCTGACAGCAGCCGCTATATGAGACATCTGAAACTATCTAAATTCAACACTGTTATGAATAGCAGCCTTTCAGCTTCCATATCAGTGTCACTCGTGTATTTTAATCGGATCTTACAGACACATTGATTTCTGCTGATCCCGAATGTGGCTCCACCTTTACAAACTCACACATCTGTTTTAAATTCCAGTGGAGATCTTAAAGTTCCCAAACTTTCTGAAACCCCTCATCTTTTCTTTTGTCCTCACATTTTATCTGTCATCACTGTTCAGCCACCGACAGTTTCGGGGGTATTTTTTAAGTAGAACTTGATGATGAAAGTAGTAATCGTTGACTGAACGGATAGTGGCTCGTGTTGACCTCTCAAGCTGCAGAATTAAGACACCCTGAACAATAATGAACAGTTATATCCGTCTACAGTAGTACAGTACAGTGTTGCAGTGGCTGTGACTTTATCTAGAAATAGCTTCCTGCAGGTCCTCTAAAAAATGGCAGCAGCTTGTGGTTGTTTTCAACCTGTTTATCTTTTGATCACAACTTCGTTACCTCATTTATTTCAGATAACAAATCTGGTGCAAACACTTTTTAATAATTTATTTATGGGTCTCATCTTTGTCTCCAGGCTGAGAGAGACGAGTCCATGATGAAACAGGCTGTTATCCTGAGATAAAGACTTATTCCTGAAGTCCTGATCAATACTAAGCTGATAAATATCTACAGATATCCTGATCTCAGGATAACAGACTTCAATAACTTGGTCTGAGCTCAAATAGTTATTATCTGTTAATCAGATAATAAAGTTGTGATCTTGAGATAATAAATAATAAAAAACGTTATTAATTCAGTCTTCGTCAGATTTCGTGTTTATGAGTCAAACCTCCATCAGACGATCGGTGATGATCCCGAAGCTTAAAGTACAAGTTCAACATTTTATGGAATACTTCCTTTCTCTTCTCACTCGGTTGTCCACATCCATGTCCTCCCAAGACTGAGATAAAGGCTTTACATTTAACAGACACTTACTCCCAGCAAGAAATGGGTATTTACTAATGTTGAAATATTCCTTTAATTACTAGGTGTTGAGTTTTTTTTGTGTTTAAATTCCTGGGTATACTCTGTAGATGATCACAGTGCATTGCAGTGTTGTGTTGTCGTCTTCCACTGTGTCGTTCCCAGCGACCACCAGATGGTGCCAAAGTATTTATTTAAATCAGTTAGAAGAAATCTTACAGGGACTCTAAACCTGCCATATCCACCTTCACTTTGACAAACAGCGTGTCGTCTTTGACGTACACGGCATTCTGAGGCGTTTCCAGCTTGTTCAGAGGAATGAAGCACGAAAACCCGACAGCGACGTTGCTCACGGACTCAGCGTCAGGTTGCTGGTAGCTCTTGGATGTCGGGTCGGGTCTGAAGCTGAGACTTCGGTGGTTACCGGTGCCGCTTTGATCCAGAATAGACAGAGACACGGTCTGTCTGAATGGCCACGGCAGCAGGGCGTCGAAGTCTCCCGGCATCAGGACCACGTAAAGGGAGAGGTGAGTCCCTCTTCCCTCGCCGTCCCCGTTCAGATAGGCTTTGATGGCCATTTTGTAGCCGCAGCGTCCGGTGTGGAACGGCATGCTGCTCAGGCAAGGCAGCTGACCTTTGGCCTCTTCTTCCTTCCTTTTTTTGAAGTCCTGGATCTTCCAGATCAGTTTCCCGTCGTAGGACGTGGCCTCGAGCTCCCGAAGGCGCTGCTTGTTGCGACTGAGCTGAGAGGCGTGGAGGTCGAGGAGACCCGAGTGATGCCTCAGATTCTCCTCCAGAGTTCCTGGAAGAAGGAAATACCAACAGCATTCACTGAAATGTACCAGTCGTCTTCGTAGGCGCATTTACAAAGAGTCTACCTGCCCCCCATCAATTATTTGATAGATGATGGTGTGGTCAGGTGGTCAGACCAGAATTAGCCTTGTGCACTGTGGCTAGAGTTGTACACTGGTGTAAAAGTCACCTGTGTCTGAAAATGTAGATTGGAACCAACAGTGTTACAGGTATTTCCAGTATAGACAGAAATACAGTGTCAAAGCAGGTTTATACAGGTGTTATCCAGGTGTTGTTACCCAGGTGTTCTCTGAGGGCCTCGGCTCCTGACACCTCCTGCATCACAGCGTCCAGAGACTTTCTGAGCTGCTCCAGCTCCTCCAGACCAGGAAGTCCCCGAGATACCTGCTTGACTTCCAGCTGGACGGTGGACAGGACGTCCTCCTGCCGACTCAAACTCCTCTGATCACACACAGACAGAGGAGACATGGTTTAATGCTGCTGCGATACATTTGTAATGATTTTTAAACAAGTGACTTCATGTGATTAAAGGTTTTTGCTTAACAAATCTGAATTTGACACTTTGTGAGGTGAGATTGTTGTTTTGTTCTTTTATAAACATGACACTTGTAAAACAATTTTCTCTGCAGGTTTTAATGTGATGGATTGTGAAAAATTTTCTAAGACAACAAATACAACGGTTGAAGAATTCTCCATACAGGACTATAGAAGGAAGTGCCTCAGACAGGATGATCAATGAGAATAAAACTGTGTATTAACCTGAGCTGTAGAGATGACGTGTTCGTGGCAGCTGCTCTGCTGCAGCAGCGGTCTGATTTTCTTCTGCAGATCAGTGAGCAGTAAATTGTCTGCCTGGACCTCCTGCTGCCTCAGCAGCGCCTCCTCCTGGAGAACCCCCACCTGACCGAGGACACAACAGTCAGGTAAACAACCTTTTAACACTTTGGAGTCAGAAACATCTATGAACATTAGCAACAGTTAGAGCTGTTCTACACTTAAGTTTCAAGCTATAAGATACAAACTCAGACTGACCCTCAGTCATGCGGACCACAGCCACCTGAGAGATGAATGTGTTTGTGTCTATATGTTTTCATGTTTATTTGTCACTAAATGAAGATGTTTGTTAGAATCAACTTTACTGAGTTAAATTAAATGCACTTGGAGCTGTCAGCATGAATGTTCTGTGTTTCCGTTGACTGATGTTACGTGAATAAAGCTGCGTTTTCTCCTCTGACAAATATCGTTCTAATTAAATATAACGACAGATTTCCAGCAGTTTGCCTCTTGGTTGGATCTGGCTCCCTGGGGCCTGATACGTCAGGGGCCACAACTTGAATGTGAAAAAAGTGTTTCCATTTCACTATTGCAAAATATTACTTTGTAAAATAGTCTGAAAAACCACCTCACCAAGGCGTATACATTCAGGCGTACTCTACGACTACAATGTAGGTATCTTATGTCGACGACACGAAGACGTTGGAACAACTTGAACCAACAAAATATCGTTGTCAGCAGGGCAGTGCACACATCTTCAGTCTGACTTTGACACACCTGTTGTTCCAGGTTGGTGTTACTCCTCAGCACCAGCAGTATGTGATGATTGACAGCAGCATCTTCGTGCAGTTTCACTTTCCCTCGTTTATCCTGCAGGACACGACGCTCAGTGTCAGGCAAAGATCGTGGAAATCCATGAATGAAAAGTTCATCATAAATGTTAAAGATTCAGAACTCAGGTCTGTGACGGCTTCATCAGACGAACACACCTGTACAGGGCAGCCAAACTTCTTATAGGAACATTCGACGTGAACCTCAGGACACGACTCTCCGTGCTCCGTCAGCTGGAAGAGAAACACACACAACGTGAACTGTCACCCACATATTTCTACTTTTGTTCACGTTAACGTGGAATACTTGACTCTGATTGGTCAGTTATGACTTGACCCTCCCACCAACAGTCGTCCTGCATTTGTGACAAACCTGCTGACGAGTTTTTGACCCGCAGTAGCTATGCAGCTGTTTTTTACGGTGGCCCTGAAGTTCCAACAGGAAGTTACTATAGTTCAGCTGCAACATGATCAACAGTTGTAACAGCAGCAGTGACATATGACTCACCTTAAAATCTCAACGCCCAAATTTGTATCAAAGATCTGAGTCATGACTAAGTCAAATCTGAACACAGACATGATGGACATATTCTTAGATTCAGTGTGACTCGCACTTTCTGTCCATCGCATATAAATCTGTTTAGAAAACATCACTTTTTAAAGTTTTCCTCCGTATCTCATTCCGAATGTGCCATCACTCAGCCAATCAGCAGCCAGCGGATCGCTGTATCTGCAGGTGTATGTATGGATGTATGAATCACAGAATGAGCGCACCTTGTGTCTGGGAACCTTCTGGGAGCAGCTGTTGGGACAGTCCACCTCCACATCTGGACACGAGCTCTGCACGTGATCCTACGCAAAAACACAGAACACGTGACCAACAGGAGTCAACACCTCGGCCGAGTGACAGCTGCTCATGGCGGTTCACAGATACTGGGTAAGTCCTTTCCTGAGGAAGCCGGACCAGGAGGAGGACCTGACTGGAACCTGACTGGAACCTCAGCCTGTTAAAACCACCTGTTTGGACCGGACTTTACCTGGATAAGGCTGAGGCAGTGCGGTTGCCTGCAGTGTGGGCAGGGCTCCATGCGGTGAGGACAGTCGTCGGTCAGGTGTTCCTGCAGGTATCTCCTCTGTAGCAACGCCCTGCAGCCTGAATTGGTGCACTGCAGCAGCTCGTACTGACACGACCTCAGGTGCTCCTGCAGAAGACGAAACCATTTCGGATTTTGATGGTAAGACTCAATCATCTGCACATGAGTGAATCTGACCCAGAGTGTATTATCGTCACTCCCCAGTTTGAGCTGTAATGACATGATGAGTGACGAGGTCGACACACATTCAGCTGGTCTCTAAAGCCTACCTGCAGGTGGTTTAACGTGGTGACAGAGGTGCATTCTGGGGAGTTTGTGCAGAACACTTCTAAACTGGAGATTTCTCGTTTGCAGCAGTTATCCTGGAAAACCTGGAGGGACAAGACTCTGGATTAGTGTCTCTTTAAACTTCAACAGATCCAAAAACAAAGATGTATCTGCAGCCTCTGAGCCACAGAGCTCCACCCCCCATCCTGCTGCCACGTGTGCTCACTAACGAGGATCAATCCGCCGCTGAAAATAGTTCCTAACTTTATATATTTTGTTCCATTTGTTAGATACAAACTACAGAGAGAAGCTTTTTATAAATGATGATGAGGAACTGTGTGTGTGCGTGTGTGTGTCTCTGTGTGTCTCTGTGTGTGTGTGTGTGTGTGTCTCTCTGTGTGTGTGTGTGTGTGTGTCTCTCTGTGTGTGTGTGTGTGTGTGTCTCTCTGTGTGTGTGTGTGTGTGTGTCTCTCTGTGTGTGTGTGTGTGTGTGTCTCTCTGTGTGTGTGTGTGTGTGTGTCTCTCTGTGTGTGTGTGTGTGTGTGTCTCTCTGTGTGTGTGTGTGTGTGTGTCTCTCTGTGTGTGTGTGTGTGTGTGTCTCTCTGTGTGTGTGTGTGTGTGTGTCTCTCTGTGTGTGTGTGTGTGTGTGTCTCTCTGTGTGTGTGTGTGTGTGTGTCTCTCTGTGTGTGTGTGTGTGTGTGTCTCTCTGTGTGTGTGTGTGTGTGTGTCTCTCTGTGTGTGTGTGTTGGTTCTGACCTCAGCTGGTGTGATCACAGCTCTGTCCACTGGACAAACTGGGCTGGACGGTGATGAACTCTCCCTGAAACACAAAGCAGAGGAGCTCGAGAAACCACAGACTGTGTTGGTGTGAATGTGTTTTAAGGTGGACTGAGTCAGTAAAAGCGTGTTTTACACTGAACTGTGTTAGTATGTTAGTGTGTTTTAAGGTGGACTATGTTAGTCAGAGTGTGTTTTAAGGTGGACTGGCTCTTACAGTAGTCCTTGGAGGCAGTGGAAGCAGTAGATGTGTCCACAGGAGTTCTGCTGGGGGTTGAGAACGACTCCTCTGCAGATGGGACAAACAAACTCCTCCTTCAGCTTCAACACGAACTTCAGGGAGTGCTTGATGCAGGTCAGCTCCGACTCCCAGGAGCCCACGAGGCCGGACGACTTCATCCTGGACTCCTCTGACCCCAGCCTGGACTCCTCTGACCTCCTCACCGACTCCTCGGACTGCAAACTCGACTCTTCAGACCCTCCCAGCGTCGTGTCTGCTGTGGCCATGAGTCTGCAGGAGACCAGACCGGACACATCGCACAGGTGACTTGAGTAGACTTTTGGTTATTTTGTTGTAAATGATTTAATTCTTCTGATTTATTATTTTTCTGAGTTGTAGCAACAGCGTCAGATCAACCCTCAAAATGTTTTTATCCACAATTTGACACAGTTAGCATGATGATGAAGTATTACTGTTGGCTGAATAACTAGTCTGACTTGTAACTGCAGTGAGACAATATCAGAGTCAGTATTTGAATATTTCATTACTTTATACACAGTAATCCACTCTCAGTGAAGGGGGCGGAGTCAGACAGCTTTGTCTAATGCTCTGACCTGTAACAGAAACACTGTAGTGAAAGCTCACAGTGACGCTTCACACTCTTATTACAGCATGTTGAGAAAACTTTATTTAACACTTTATTATTGATAAGTGCAGTAACCACCACAGGTGCGTTTCTTTACTTGCTGATTCAGGTTCTCGTACAGGTGTGACGATGGATGTATGAGGATGTTAACGGCCCGCTGAGGCTGCAGGTGCCCGAGGCCCAGACTCTTGTGCTGTCAGGTAAATGTAATAAGTCTCTCTCTAAAATCTGGTGGAGTGAAACTATAGAAAATATTCAAGTGAAAACCTCAACTATACGATGCTGCGTTCCGCTAAAGTGTGACATCTAAGCACTTCCTTGTTTTCCCCATTTGTCTTAACGGAACCATTACCTGTCACTCATTTTTACCTGTGTGACATCATCATTGTGCATTAGGCTGAGAGTGCAGCAGATGAGCTTGTATATGAAAGGCTATTGAGCATGTTGTGACCAAAGCATGAAACTTATGTTTCTTATGAAGTTTATGTGATGTCACGTGACCTCTGGAACAGGGCGGAGCCTCCTGGAGTAATGAGTAATAAGCATCTTTATTAGAACAAAGACATACACGAGTCAATGACCTCTCAAGGTCACCAGAGGTCAGGACAAACTGCCTCCATGTCATTGGTGTATGTAGATCAAATGCTGAAACTTTCATGCTTTAGTCTCTCGTCTCTCACCATGAAAGTGAAAGAGTCCAGAGAAAGTGAGCCGGCTCAGTGTCCGACTCAACCTGAGACCCCTGAGTGAAGAAACAGGGGGGGGGCCTAAAGCCGGGGGGGGGGGCTAAAGCCGGGCAGGGATTGGTTTTATCATTTAGTAACAACCCGTTGGTGTCAGTAAGTATTTATTATAGTTTATTATAGACACATGAGCTACAACTTTCTTCCATCTATAATCACCGACACCACAGGAGAGTTCACTCAACTTTATCCTGCTCTCTTAACAGGACATGTGCATCCAACAGGCTGTCACACTCACACCTGTCCCCCTGCAACAATGGCAGGTGGGAACCAAAGGGGCTCCACACTAAAGGGGTTGGAAACAACCAACTTAAATGTTACTCCTGCAAATTATTTGATATAATAAAGTACTGCAACTGATAATGAAATAATATAATAAACTCAAATAATATCGCACCACAGGATATACAACACAACTCAATATGGTAAACACATCATTAAAATAATACAAATGTGTTCAATAATTAAGGTTACACTATTAACACAGAACAACATTTAATTCTACCTGATGAAAAACTGTGAAGTGAGACCGGACATCGCACATCCACGCACGTGCTGATGATACGGGCACGCGCGCACACACGTGCAGTCACACCGTTACATTCCTCTGTAACAATAACGGGCTTTATTAACGGAGTGGAATGACGTGATTAAAACGGGTGTAAATTACAGGGAGATCCGGTGAGTGTTTGAATGGGTCCGGGCTGCAGGGGAATCCCCGCCGCCGCCGCCGCTCCGTTCAACTGACCCTGAACCTGGACCTCAACCAGAACCAGAACCTGCGTTTACCGCCGTTACGCCTCTAAAACTTCACTTCAAACATGTCAAACATTAGGATCTTCTATCCTCTGATTTTTATAACCTCATGATGTTCCCGCTGAGGACCGCAGCCTCTTTACTTTCAGTTTCCGCAGACAGTCAGTACAAATGTCAGAGTTCAGTCCTCGGTGCAGGTTCTTACCTCTCTCCGTGAAATCCCTCCGAAATCCCCCGAAATCAGCTCCACGCTGCAGCCTGTCGGTCCCAGCGGATCGATATGGCTGATTAGTATTAATCACCTATAGTCGACAGAGCAGCAGCAGCAGCAGCAGCAGCAGCAGAAGAACCAGAAGAGGAGGAAATTATAACTGCAGGAAGTGACTTAACACCAACAACTGCTGCTGCTGCTGCTGCTGCTGCTTCATTACAGTTCAATTAAATATGAATAAAGAAAATAACATTAAAAACACTTTAAATATGATGAATGAAAAACAGGACTTTACTGAAGTAAAAATACTTGAAGTAAAAGAGCTGATTGAGCATAGTAATAACGTGCAGTGTTTATCAAATATGATGTCAAACTTACACAAATATATAAAATTAGAAAAATAATAATGATTTTGACCAGCTACAAAATAATTTGTGTATTGTACAAAGCTGATTATTTATTTATATTTTTATTTGACTGATTTTTTTTTAGGGATTTTAATATTTTTCTGACATTTCAATTTTATTTACTATTTTATATTTCTACTCCACTGGTCTTGTACCAAATAAACATGTTCCTTTACGTCTGTGCTAACAATGAACAACAGTGGGACACATTTTACCTTCAGCTCCTGCAATTTTTGTTATTGCACTTGGTCATATTGTCTTTTTCCATTTTGATGAATTGTGCAGCCCTACTTTAACACAGTGTTTATACTCTGCGGTACTGCAGTAAAAGATGAGCACTTCCTCCACCACTGTACACAACATGTGACGTGTTTATAAAATGTGAATTCAAACTGAAAACAGTCGGATGGTACAAATGTAGATTTTAATGAGAATGAGCAACAACCTCAGAGAGAAATCTCAGCAGCTTCGTCTTAACATCAATATTTTACAGGTTCTACTGAAACTCCAGGACACTATGATTCCAGTTACATTAAATGCTGTGATACATGTTTGTCCAAAAAGCTTTAAGAGCACTTTCACAATGACTTTTTCACACCAAGTCCAAACTGGTAGCACCAGGAATAATAAGAATAAATAATAAGAAGACAGACTTGACAGCACATCTGAAGCTCCTGAGTCCAGAGGACGGTGAAATAGGTTTTTAGTTTTCAAATGAATCTTCAACATGTGGAGAAAAAAAAACAAAACAACAGCTACTCTGAGAACATTAACCCCAACAACAGAACATTGACAGAGACATTTCTACACATACTGGAGGACGTCTGGGTGAAGCTTTAGTGTTTTCAAAAAGCATCGAATCAACTATAAAAACAAACGTACGCAGCTGTTTGTACGTTATGAACAGCTGATCGGATGGACAGTGGCTTACAAATCACTCAAATAAATACCAAACTGTACATGTTGATGTCTAATGCTACTGTACACAACACTGAGGCCTCCAGCTTCATCTCCACCTGTTCCCATCTGTACAAGTGATATTCTACAAGTTTCCTCTTGTCAACAAATCCTCATGTGCAGAAACAAACCAGCACTGAGTGTCTCCTACTAACAAGTGTGGTGTGTATCAAAGCCTCATGTCAACAATAAACTGGAATCAAGCAGGTTACATCCCTGTTTTTCCAGAGGTCACACTGACCTTTGATCCCCAAAAATCTAATCAGTTCGTCCTTGAGTCCAAGTTAACATTTGTGCCAAATTTGAAGTGATTCCCTTGAGGAGTTCTTGAAATATTGCATTCACAAGGCCAATATCAATATAATTTTGTCAGGTCACTGTGACTTTGACCTTTGAACTTTGACCTTTAGCCACCAAAGTCTGATCAGTTCATCCTTGAGTCCAGGTTTTTACCAAATTTGAAGAAATTCCCTCAAGGCGTTACGGAGATATCGTGTCCGCACGGACAAGTCAACAACAAAATGGCTGCTGCTCTGACTGTCGCTGGCACGGAGGAATAAAAATATCACACGTACACTGTCCAACCCCAAATACACACTGGAGCAAATAGTCTCACCCAAACGCACTATTACCCCCTGTTTGTTTGATGAAAACAACAGTATCCAGCTGTTTCAGAAAATGACTGAGTGTTTTTATAAATGAAACTTTACATTTGTGAGGTGTTTTAGATATTTCCCTCTTCAGCAGGAACCAATGAGCTCGGAGCTGAGAGCCACAGGCGGAGGAGGGAAGTCTGACAGTGTTCAGAGACGGACTGACACGTTGTTGGTTCGAGTCTGCACAAGATTTGTTGACAGTAAGAAAAATCTCCAGACTAAGCCTTTAAACACAAAGCTAACAGTTTACAGTCTTGCTAACGCCCCCCTAGAGGCTGCACTGTTCATTATAACCACAATATGAACATCCTGACATGTGGAGCTAAAAACATTGAGTTTGTCCTGAGGTGGTGCTAGAGGAGAGATCATGAGGTCGTTAAACCCTGACAGAAGGATGACAACATAAGACTGAACTGACGAAACTGAACTTCCATAAATCACACTGATTTCAGCTCTACTACTTTGTGCTAACTAGCAAATGTTAGCATGCTATCATATCAAACTAAGATGGTGAACATAGCAAACATTATACCTGCTAAACATCAACATGTTTGTGCTAACTAGCAAATGTTAGCATGCTAACATGTTAAAATGGTAAACATAGTAAACATTATACCTGCTACACTTCAGCATGTTAGCATTGATAATATGTATGTTAGCATGCTGACATTAGCATTTAACTTAGTGCCTCAGTACAGCTTCCAGGGCTGCTAGCATGGCTGTTGACTCTTAGTCTTGTTATATTAAAAACGAGTTTATGAGTTTTATTAAATCACTGGCTTTGAAAAGGGTTTTACAGGAAGTGCTGATGTCATTTTTGTTTGTGGTTAAGGAAACAAACTGATGGCGGAAAAGGTGGAGACGTACTCATGGAGAAAAAGAAGGGACCCAGGATTGAACCCTGAGGGACGCCACATGTCAGTTGAGGATTAGCTGATGACTGAAAAGACGCTGATTTAATCATCTGTGTTCGGACTGGATGACTTCTAGTCAAAGCTCCTTTAATGAAACAAAGATTTTAGAACCAGGTTCCCATCAGCCAACAGGTACGCTGCATTTAAGTCCTGTGGGAAATGCAAACTTCAACCCCGAACACATACACGAACACTCACCAAATATTAAAAACTCAGATTAAGATTTCTGATTTTGTTTTGTGTAAATGTGTCAGAGTGGAAAAGCTCTGTCACTCAGATTTTCCCACAGGACCTGAACGCTGCAGCTTCAGATTGAGAATGATTATTTTCTTTCTTGTCTCTTCAACAGAAACTCAGTCCAACGTTCGTTAGTGAAGGGAGGAGGACGAGGCCGTCTCTGATTGGTGGATGGCCAGACCCGAGGGCTGCTGGGCGGAGCTTGGGCCTGACCCCCCGAGGTTCCCACCGAGGGTCATGGGAGCGGGAGGGCGAGGGTTGAGGCGGGGGGGCAGGGGGTTGGAGGGGCGGATAAGAGGCGGGGGCTGCTGCAGCGTGGGGCGGGGCTGCAGGAAACGGGCCTGCTGTTGGAGGGGCGGTGGCTGGCGGTGCAGGGACGGCGTGGCCGGCAGGGAGGGCCGCAGGAGAGGAGGGGGCTGGTGGAGGGAAGAGGAAGAGGTGGTGCTGGACGTCACCGGAGTCTGAGCTGAAATAGAAGAAGAGGAGGCAGCAGGAGACGCACCTGAGGAGGTCACCTGACCCTGCAGAGAGGAGAAGGTGGGGCCAAAGTTATCTCACCAAAACTCTGTATAAATATTGTATATTTTCTCTTATTGTTGCATTTTTGTTTTTAAATATGAGATAGTTTTTGTTCAGGCCTCTAAATCTACTCAAATGAAAACTAAACTCAACTTTCAACAAAGAGTAGCTAAAGCCTGATTGAAAAGTTGATGGATGACACACTAATTTGCATATTAGTGACATCATAACATAACTAGGCGTACTGCATTTACACAATCTAACTATAAACGGAGGAATTTCTGTATTTCAATTTCCCAACAACTGTTCATCCGATCGACTTCAAACAAAAACATGAAGTGAAACTAGCGTCTGCCTTCAAGGAGGGTAATCAATCTTAAAATCTGAGGGACTGAGGATCAGCAGAAAAATGTTTGAACAAACACGACACGGTATATAACACAGATAAATGTGTCACCTCTTCGTCTTCTTCGTCAGTACTCTTCCCTGACGGAGTGGTGGAGCTGTTCTTCCCCTCCTCTCCAGAGGTGGCGCTGTCTCCGTTGGGCGCTCGCGTCCCCTGCTCGGCCTCCCACTCCTGCAGCACCTCCTCCAAGTTGAAGCGCCGCCGGTAGTTCACAAAGAAGTTCTTCACCTGGCCCACCGTCTTGTTGCCTATCACGTCTGCGATGGCCTGAAAGTCCTTCCCGTACTTCCTGACACCTGGAGAACAGGTTCATAGTGATGTCACTGAATCACCAGAGACTCCTGAACAGTTTGATTATGTTATTATAACTAGAATCACCTTTCTGTTTTCTGAGGTCACTGTGACCTTTGGCCCCCAAAATCTAATCAGTTTGTCCTTGAGTCCAAGTGAACATTTGTGCCACAAGAAGTTCATTCAAGGTGTTACTGAGATATGGAGCCTCATTAACAAACAACAGACAGAGCGGGAAACAGTGTCGCCTCCATGAAAACCTCTCATAACCTTTATGAAGCTTTTCATTTTGAATGTGGTTTGATGGATTTCAGATCCTGAACCTTTTAGACTTTTTACCTGCTGCTTGTACAAACAGTGATGAAGAAGATGAAGCTCACCTTGAACAGCCAGGAGCTGCTCGTCCGTGGTCCAGCGAGCGTTCACCTTCTGGTTACACTACAGAGATGAAACATCAGAGTAAAGACTGTTTGTATCTAGAACTGAGAGGATTTCCACAAAGGGAGTCAACGCAAAACTGAGGAAGATGATTTCCACACAGGTATTTCAATTCCCAATTTCCATCTATAACTACATCAAGAAACAGATAACGGTTTGTTGTTTTACATTTTTTTTATATCAAAACAAAAAACTGTAAGTTTTTGTTTCTCTATTTCTAAATGGTAATCGGGAAACGAGCTGTCTCCCAATTTTAGTTCTCTCATTTTAAAATGAAAATTCATTGGTAGTACACGGACCTGATTCAAACACTTGATTTAACATTAAAGAAAACACATGAGCATCAAGTAGAAAACTGTCCTGCCGCTGTTTAAACTGAAGAACAGTATTTCTGGTGAAGTTCGTGTAGTTTAAAAAGGAAATAGCTTCAGTGTGTTTGTACCTCAGGCAGCCTGAACTCTTCGATCCCAGACTCCAACATGTGTTTGAGTCCGCTGTTCATCTGTTTGGCGTTCTGGACCTGAACAAGATGGAAACACGTTGAAATGAAACTCTAGTGTCTGAATAAACACTGGATTTATTCAGCGTGTGACGGTTCACTCAACTCTCTGCAGCTGGCACCACCAGGTGGCAGCAGAGCCCTGACAGATCACACAGGCATTACACCGGACGACTCTCTGGTCGGGGCCTTTTACCTGTTCTCAAACCATTTCCCACCTGTGCTCAAAGCCAGGCCTCTGAGAGGAAGTGAAGCGTTACTGAATGAAATGAACCTGATTGGTTTTCTATTTAACAACAAGTCAGCTTCATGTCACATCTGTGTTTCCCATGATGCCCTCTGACTGTTTGGTGAGTTACAAACACAACTGTCTTTACACTTATGCCAATATGCTAACAGCAACATGCTAATGTTAGCATGCTAATGATAGGCCCTGCTAATGTGATGGTTTATAGGTGTTTGTCTTCAGTTTATTCGTCAGATACCAGACAACTGGGTTCAATCAGCAGCTTTTCTGGAGCTTTTGAACATATCACATGATCTTCATTCTATAGCAGATTATATATGTCCACATTTCCATTTTTTCTGGACACTTTTTTCTACTTTTCAACTTTCAACATGGAACACAAAACTCCTTCAAGTGTCCAGAAAAAAAAATTAAAAATATCAACAGAGGAAACTACATCTGATTGAAAGCTCCAGAATAGCTGCTAAATGGACCTCTATTAATAAACTTGTATTAAGAACAACACACAGCATGAACCTTTGAAGAAAAGTCTGTCTTTATAACCTTGGTGATGTGTTTTTTATTTTAGTTTGAATCATTCTTCTCGGGTACGATGACATTTTAGTTTCTAGTTTTGTTAAAATTAAAGGAAACAAAGACAACTTAAAATGTCTAACCAGATTTTCTGTCTCCAATCTGAGTCCTTTAATATCAGACTCCTGATATATCCTCTTACTATATTTTTGTTAAACGGTATTAATATTTCTAACAGATGAAAAACTCTGTCGTAAGAAAATACAACATCTTTCCTTTGATGGTTTCCTCTAATATTTCCTGTCAATAGTAAAGTTTTTAAAGACAACTGCACTCAGTGAATTAGCTGTGAGCTGAAACTTCAGCGCCATTATATTTGTTTACATGATAATGATAATTAAATGTATGCTGAATTAGCTATTAGCAGCTCCTGTTTGCAGGGCACCCAGGGACGTACAGACAACTCTCACTGGATCACTGCGATACCGAGGAAAACGTAAAAACATGATGATTCTCAGGCAGGTTCTGCAGCGAGTCTGTGTTGAGATTCTGAGGAGGTCAAATCAGCCACCAAACTACATGAACTCAATTTAGCTATTTTTAGAGCGACAGCATGCACCTGTCCCTGTCACTTCACACCTCTTCCTCCGCTCCCCCGCGTCCTCTCAAAACCTCGGCTCCACAGGAGTTTGTTTGAAGGTGAGGAGAGTCGGGGGGGGGGGGTCTGCTGTGGCGGGAAGGTTTCACCGGACTCTTTTCATCTCCAGCATGAACAAAATCTGTCGTTTCAAATGTAGAATTCAACCAGCAGAGAGACGTCAGAGTGGAAATGTTGCTGAAGTAGATGCTACAGGATCTTTTTTTGTTTTGTTTTTTTTATCCTAAATTTGTGGTTTGGTTCTCAGAGCAAAGAAATACTTGAAAAAATAATTAGGAACCCTCAAAAAACAGTGTGTGGATCGGTCCAGATCCCGACCCTGTGGTTCAGCTCTGGTCCATATTGATAGCAGACTTCCTGGATCAATAGTCGGGTCGATGTTGTAATATCTGATAGAAATGAGGGGCTGAATCACGTGGTATAAATATAGATTTTATTTTTCATTCTCTCTGTTTTGTCAGATCCCTGGTCTGCAGGAGGAGGAGGAGGAGGAGGAGGAGGAGGAAGAGGAGGATGCAGGATTGCTGTAGCGCCACCAACCTGTCTCTTGAGGGACACCAGCTCCATGTCCAGCTGACGGAGGAGGGTGTTGGCGGCGGAGGCGCTGCAGGACACGGCCACCACGTCTTCCTGGGTCAGGTACATGCCTTTGGGGGGCCGGCAGCGGGAGCGCTGGTGGTGTCGGTGCTGCAGGGTCTGGTGCTCCCGTCGACCCAGAGCCACCTTAGCGCCCGGCACCGGCGGCTCCACCTGGTTCTGAAGGTGACACAGTCAAAAGGTCACAGGTGAAACTGAAGTCATCAGTAAATAACTGTGTTATCCAGTAATTAAAATCTAGTTTAAAAAGAATAAACGGCTCTAATAGTTGATTAATAAAAAGTAAAAAGCTTTTTGTTTTTTCTTTTCTATTGATCTTTTACTTTCTTCATTTTCTTTTCAAACTCCTAAATTTTACTTGTTTCTAGTTATTTCTCTATTTTCATTAAACTGATTTAAAGCCTGTGTATGAATCCTGAATTAATCAATTAGCTGAATATTGTATATTGATATTCAGTAGATAACTGAAAAAATATTATACATTTATGAGTAAGTAGTTAAAAAATTAAAAGTAAAAAATAATTATTAGATGCGTCCAAAATAAATTCTATTGTAGGTGTGTGTTGTCCCCGTGGCAACAGCAGCTCAGGCGTGTCCACGTACCTCTTTCTTAGCTTCCTTGTTGGGGTCATAGTCGCTGTCGTTGGCTTCGATGGGATTGGCGTCCTCCATCTCCTCATCGCTACGGCAACACCAACAAGCCAAAATACAGTCGTTACACGTCGTCACAACAACAACAAACTCACAAAGCCAAGGCACATGATGCCAACGCACCAAAGAAGAAGAGCAACACAAGATATGACAAAGAATTCTGATCTGAATGAAAAACAACAATAATTCTGAAAATCAAGTCTGGATCATTTTTCAAGATAAAAGTGAAGATTTGTGATTTCTCTCTTTTCTATCGTTACAAACAGGAAGTCTTTGAGTTTTCAGCCGTCGCTGAGACAGAACACGAGTGGTACCTGTCGTCCTGGTTGTTCCTGCTGGCCAGTTTACGAGCCTGCCGGTCCATCAGACTGGTTCTGGAGCGGGTCTTCTTCCACGAGTAGTAGTACTTCACCAGACTGGAGATGGATTTGTCCGGTAACTGAACAAAACACAAACTCAACACTTTTTACCGACGATTATTAAAGACACATGGAGTCTCGGTGAAAGGACACTCTGTACTTCTAAGTTAAAATACTCCTTCAAAGTAAAAGTCTGGCTTCTTCAAAAGCTTACTAACGACAAAGCACAGAAGAAGTATCGGCAAGATGTACTTAAGTCTCACTGATTAAAAGTACTTCCTGTCGTTTAAGTATCACAGGAAAAGTACTTCCTGTAGTTTGTGTCAGAGTGGTCAGGTGTGGTCAGGTTTGGTCAGGCGTGGTCAGGCGTGGTCAGGTGTGGTCAGGTGTGGTCAGAGTGGTCAGGTGTGGTCAGGTGTGGTCAGGTGTGGTCAGGCGTGGTCAGGTGTGGTCAGAGTGGTCAGGTGTGGTCAGGTGTGGTCAGGCGTGGTCAGGCGTGGTCAGGTGTGGTCAGAGTGGTCAGGTGTGGTGAGGTGTGGTCAGGCGTGGTCAGGCGTGGTCAGGTGTGGTCAGGTTGGGTCAGAGTGGTCAGGTGTGGTCAGGCGTGGTCAGGTGTGGTCAGGCGTGGTCAGGTGTGGTCAGAGTGGTCAGGCGTGGTCAGGTGTGGTCAGAGTGGTCAGGTGTGGTCAGAGTGGTCAGGTGTGGTCAGGCGTGGTAAGGCGTGGTCAGGCGTGGTCAGAGTGGTCAGGCGTGGTCAGGCGTGGTCAGGCGTGGTCAGAGTGGTCAGGTGTGGTCAGGTGTGGTCAGAGTGGTCAGGCGTGGTCAGGTGTGGTCAGGGGTGGTCAGATGTGGTCAGAGTGGTCAGGCGTGGTCAGGTGTGGTCGGTGTGGTCAGGTGTGGTCAGAGTGGTCAGGCGTGGTCAGGTGTGGTCAGGTGTGGTCAGAGTGGTCAGGTGTGGTCAGGTGTGGTCAGGTGTGGTCAGAGTGGTCAGGCGTGGTCAGGTGTTTACCATCTGCTGGATGCGGTGGAAGCTCTTGCCGTGGAAGCTGAAGGCCTGTTCAAACAGCACCTTGTCCTCCACCGTCCACTCGTCTGGAAACGGAGTGAAGTTTGGCAGGTCGGCCAGAGACTTCTCTATGTTGTGTTTGTGCCAGAAGAGCATGCCGAGAGCCTGCGAACACACACACACACACACAAATAACACACACACACACACACACAGCGTTAACACCATGCAGACATCCACATTAAGCTGGATGAATTTCAAGAAGCTGAAAACGGTTCCAGGTGTTTTTGAGGGGAGGTGATGGAGGAGAGAAACAAACGGCTTCAGAAGAACAGCTGATGTTTTAAAACACAGATCACCTGACTGAACTTCAGCGCACCCGTTTCCTCTGACATATTTTATGCTATAATGGTGACTTGGTTTGAAATGGACGATCACACAGAAACTTGAAACTCCACTGACACACAGAGCCGGTGATCCCAGATGTTCACACTCTGCAGGACGATCAGGGAAAGCTCAGTTTTGTGGGACCCACCTGCTCCACGTTGTATCCATGTTTCTCTTTGGCGATAGCGATGTATTCATCCACTGTGGAGGGAAACACACACACACACACACACAGCGTCAGTCCGGTCTGATCTGAGGACCTGAAGGAGGACGGGGTCAGAGTTCAGACGGACGAGGTTGAACTTACGCTTGGAGTCGACGATGGTGTGATACGGAGACCAGACCAGCATCCCCCCGCTGTCTTTGTCTGTGTACTTGGTGGAGCCTGAACCACGACACACACATCAAACATCCCAGACAAAGAAGAAACAGCAGGTTAGATTCGGCTGCAGCTGCAGGAGCGTTTGATTTCAACATCCACAGAAAACTGAACGTCCTGAAGGCTGTCAGCACGCCGCACTACTCTGGACACAGGTGTGTCATCTGAAGACTCCGTGCCCTCTTTTGTCCATTGAAAGAGGCTACTGAGTTGCATTATGGGAAATGTAGGATCCTGTGTTTGTGGACTGAAAGTCAGGATGTGTCCAGCTCAGCTGCACAGATTTGGACCGGTCTGTTCTGAATCTGTTTCTCTTGAGTTCAGCGACTTGATACAAGTGAAATATTGAATCACTGGAACTCACTTTTTTAATTCTCTTTTTGTTGGTGTCTTTCAGTTTTAATTATGATCTTTTTCTTTTTTGTTTGTTTGTTTGGTTGAAAACACTTTCCTCCAGTTACCTGTACTGTTGTTGAGCTTTAATTGATTTCATTTATATTATGAAAATCCTGCCCCTTTTTCTGGAGAGATATTTACTCCAAAAAGCTTTTTGAGGGTTGCCAGACATTTTTCAGTAGTTATAATCAAACATAAAGACATTTTTACTGTTTATTAATGTTCAGTATTTGTTAACAAATACAACTCCTATGAAAATATGTGTTATATTATTACAGCTGTATTTTATTATATCACAGTTCATTATGTTTCTGCAGCAGTCTCCACTCATGGGTGTCACAGAGGGAGTTATAAAAATACATTATGGTGTTATAAACCATTTATTACATGTTTATATACCACTCATAAATGCTAATTAGTTGGCATCAAAGTAACTTGTCACCACTTTATTTAAAGGAGTGTTTGTTAACAGGTTGATATTTTATTTTATGATCTGATCTCATCCAGTTTCCACACATGGCTTTAACTTATAATTCATGACTAAAGAATTACTGATTGTGCCTTTTTATAACGTGCAGGCAGGTAGGTGTCTCTGCTGACAGACGAGACTCGGTAAATGTCAATATGTTGAAACTGTCTCCATTACACAGTTTGTCCAGCAGGAGGACAGACAAGTTTATATTTACACTGTAAAATGTTCAGCACAAACACAGACCACAATTTATATTAAGAAAAAAAACGAAAAAACAAAAATGAATTGAAGTGATCGTCTATCAAACCTGTTTATTATGTGATTGTGGAGAAAAATGAACATTAAAACTTTATATTTTATCAAATTTTTAAACTTTAAAATATATTAGTATTGGTATCATGTTAAAAAAAAATTGGACCATAATGTTTTTTTTGTATTTTTTCTAAAGAGCTGAAATAATGATTCAATTATTCGATCAGTCAAATCAAAAGAAAATTCATTTGCAACAATTTAATTAATAAATTAATAATCTAAATCCATTTTCAAGCAGAAAACCAGCTTCTTAAATCTACATTCCTCTTTTCTCTGTTTTAAATCCTTATAAATAAATTCTCTTGGGTTTTAACTGTGACATGTGATGGATCTTTCTCCCAAATTTATGACATAAAACTATGAATGGAAAACAACTGTCAGATTAATCGATTATGAAGATAATCAATTCTTGCAGATCTAATATTCTCTCTGCAGCAGTCCTCAGAGAAATATCAGATACCAAAAAACTGGAAATCAAACATTTACCTGTATGTACTTGTTGAAAAGTTATTATAGTGTTATTATTCTCATTATTATTCATTTTCCTTTCACTTTACCACAGAGAATATTACACATGATAAATGTAGAGGGACCGTTACACACACTCCATTAATCTTCATTAAGTAAAATTAATGCCTGTCACAAGTTGTGAGTGAGAAGTTGAGGAGCCTCGGTTCATGTTTGTCCTGCAGATTCTTCTCTTCACTTCAGAACTGAGTCAAAGTCGATCACTGAAACAGACACTGCGTGGAAACCTGCTTTTTAAATTGTTTTCTAACTCTGCTCTCACAGTTTTTAATCCACACACACGTTCACATGAAGCGGCTACGCTCCGTGTTACTGTACGTGCACCGAGGCTACCACCGTCCGTCCGTCACTCAGCCACAAACCAGTAAAACCAGTAGAAACCTCACCGGGCTCAAACTCGGGAATGTTGGCCTGGTAATCGGCTCCGACTCGCATCCCGACATCTGGAAAACACGAGCAACAGACACGGGGGGCATGTCAGAGTCAAACGTTACGTTCAAAACGCGGACATCGGCAGCGATAAGAGGCTGTTCGAGGCTATACTCACCGTGCTCGTCGTCGCTGCCGCTTTCGTCAGAAAAATGTCCGTTAGAAGCGTTGGACGGACTCTTCGTGCCGTTGGAGCGACCTTTCCCCAAATACTCCGAGCCTTTGTCCATCATGCCCGGCATCTCAGCGCCCGAATTCACCGATTTTTAAACGGCTGTGTCGGAATATAAAATGTCAGCAGGAGCTGGAGGGTTTTTCTGCTGCTGTTCGCTCGCTCGCCGCAGCTCAGTCCGCGTCGCTGTAGCGCTCCTCTCCGCGCTCCCGCCACGTTTTACACGGTCCCTTCAGGCTGTAAAACACCACAAATAACAACGGCAGAGTCTCCTTTGTATTCAACATTGTTTTAATATGTAAAATGTTTCATCCGAGGGAGATTTTTCCAGCTTTAAAGCCGTGACTGCACCGGGTCTAACCACCGCGGCGGAAGGCTTTTTACGCACCGTCGAGCGGCTGTGCGGCGACTGCTGCTGCGGAGTTTGTGGCAGCAGATCCATCCGCCGACACAAACTCATAAACTAAAATAAAATACATAGAAAATCAAATAAAAACAGAAATTTAACAATAATAAAGCTTTTATTAAAACAAATGGAACCGGAAGTTAGTCAAACACATCCGGAAATTACAAATATCACAGAGAAATCCAATTATAAACATCATGATTTCGTATGAATATATGTCACAGATTTGTTACATATTAAATGTAATTATATAATTACATTATTATATTGTATGTACTAAAGCTGATTAAATGTGGCTGATAATTCAATCTGTTATTTTTATTTTTTCTCCTTGTTTATCAGTCAGTTTTCCTGCGCTGAGTCTTTACCACCAGCAGAGGGAGACACCGCACAACAGTCTGACTCCTGTCACCACAACAACCGTAAACTGCTATTAAACTTCATTCCTGCAGAGAGGAAATCCACTCAGACACACGGGGGGTGGGAGAAGATTGTAATTAATGAGTTAACCCCTCAAAAATAATCAAACTCCAACGGTCTCCCTCTGACAAATTAATCCAGTTTCATCCCTTCAAAATTAAATTTACTCATGGATGGATCTATTCTGTATGAAGTGACTCTTAATATTTCTGGTTTTGAGTCATGAGGTTTTGAGCTCAGTTAAAAGACACATAATAACCACAAATAGATGAAAAACAACCTTAAACAACTGCATAGACAGAAATGTTTAGATTAACTTAACTGGTACAACTCTTAAAAGACACCTCACCGCTGCAGTGTGACCATTTTCACTCCATAAAATTATATAACTTATAATTGCACCAGACTTAAATATGGGTAAAACAAGGAACCTGGGAAATTTTGGATCAAACTTTGAAATAAATCACATCATTGACAGTAAGCTATTGTGTACAGTACATGAAACAACACATAGAGTCAAGGACACAATCACCCAAAAGAACAAAAAAAAGAGAAAAGAAAGGCTGCCTCCTTCTTACTTTATCCTCCACTGAGATTTCTGCCATCTCTCAGTACAGTGGAGATGGATTAAATTCAATTATCATGCTCAAAGCTTTGGAAAATAACATTTGAAAAACCTTTTTTCCCCACATCAAGTGGCTTTATTAAAATTTAACCATCTGTAGAAAATAGTTCTTGTGTTGACAGTGAAGCCTGTGGATTATCTAGAGGAACAGAGTTCCTGCTGAGGTATTTAAATTTACTTGTTACTAGTGAAAATGAGTTTTAAGTTGATTAACATAAAGAATCCATAATCAATAATTTTATTTTTAGAATGTATTGACTACTCATATGTATTTTGTCTGACAGGCTAGCACCTGTCAGACAAATAGATTCACTCTATTTTCTCTCTTCTGACACTTTGTTCACCCTTGTGCACATTATAAGAAAAAACTTTGTTAAAGAGAGGGAGTAAAGCTCCGTCTTTGTTAGCTTGGTCGCTAAAGGGACAATAAGCTAGCACAGCTTGAGATATTTTCACGTTTTATTCTACGACGTTAGTCAGTAAATACCTCAGCCCTGATTTCTTTAAGCTTTTACGTCTCTTAAATAAGGACGGTTTCTAATAAGTGTCTAACTCAGACTACAGCGGTTGTTGGGGACTTTAAACGTCTACTCACTCATCTACTCACCAGTCGACCTTTACGGCCTCGTTGTGTTTATTATCATGCTCTTACAAACTGTTATTACCTTTTGTAAGGAGAAAAATTTAATGTCCATTATAGGTAGACATTCAGAGACAAACCCTGTTTCCAGTCTTTATGATAAACTGAGCTAATCGATAGATAAATCGATTGATTGATAGATTTATTAATCTCAAAGAGAAATTGCAGTTTTGCTGAAGCCACATCACATAAATCACAAAAACAATGAGGTAAGTGATAAACAATGTAATTCAAGGCTGGACTAAATAAATTATATTAAAAAAAAGTATAAATAAAAGCTTAACTATTACTTTAAATTATTATTTATTCAAACCCAGGTTATATTTTATTTCCAGATCTCAGGGTTCGTTTTGCCCCCCCCCCTTTTTTTTTGAGTGGATGCCCCGCCCTGACTACAGGTAGCGGAAAATACACCATACGTTTTTATAAACTACGGCTGGACTGACCCTTTAAATGCATCGACTTGAGTGATGTAATGATACCTGCTACCTCTCTCTCTCTTTCAGTATCCGTAGGTGTCTCTTTACCATCCTCTCTCTCCCCCTCTCCCTGTCTTTTCTAAGCTCTCTCTCCCACGGGCAGCCTCGCTGTGGCTCGTCTCTGAGCTCGTGCTGCAGCCATCTGCCCAATAACGAGCCTGCTGAGAGAGAGAGAGAGAGAGAGAGAGAGAGAGAGAGAGAGAGAGAGAGAGAGAGAGAGAGAGAGAGAGAGAGAGAGAGAGAGAGAGAGAGAGCGAGAGCACGAGCTCCTACTCTACAACGCGCGGGGCTCGAGCAGCATCAGATATGTGAGCGGCGGGAAGCGGCTCTGCCTCGCGCTGCAGGAGAGGACGGCAGGAAGGATGGCGGGAGGACGGCGGGGTCTCGTGGCCCCTCAGAACACGTTCCTGGAGAACATCGTCCGCCGGTCCAACGGTAGGATCCGGTTCTGTCCGGTTTGTTTGAGCACCTGGATTTGAGTCAGTGTCGGTGTGTTTGTTTGTGTGGAACGTGTCGTGGTTCGGTTCGGTTCGGTTCGGTTCGGTTCGGTTCGGTTGTTTGACCATCAGGTTCAGAGAAACCGGATCGTGTCCAGTTCAGTAGGACTTAACACGGGTCAGTTTACTGGTGTTAACCACTTACCAGCACAACACTTACTGGGTCCTACTGGTTTCTACATGTAGCTCCAGAGGAAGACAAAACTCAGGACACCAGAAATAAATTAAACGTATTAAAAGTATTTGGGCCCCAAACCCTCAAACATGGCCGCATTAATCTCCTAGGTGGCCCCGGGAAAACATTAGTTGTTGGACCCTGATTGACCTCTACTATACAAGTCCAGAAACCAATCAGCACTCTACAGCTGAAATACTTAGTTTGATAAGCCAATTAAATAATTGACAGAAAATTAATGGGTGGCATTTTAATAATTGGTTAACATCATCAAATACAATTTTAAAGCAAAAATGATAAAAATTCTTTGGTAGCAACCACTCAGATGTGAATATTTTCTGATTATTTGTGACAATGAATTAAATATTTTTGGATTTTTGACTATTGGTCAGAAAAAATCAGTCTGATTATGTTAATGATGGGAATTTTGCTCCATTTTCTGAAGTTTTATACGCTGACCAATCAATAGATTATCAAAGAAAATAACGTCATGATGTATTATAGGGAATATAATCAGTGGCCTTACAGTTCACCTGTGATGGAAAAATACATCCTTTCCTGAGGTTTTCTTCATGTTAATTACTTGAAAAACACAAAAAATGATAGCAATCGGATTTTATTCAACTTTACCACAATATTTAAAGTCTTAAAACTAGACTCTGACAGAGTCTCTCTACATGACCGGGGCTACAAGGTGTCTGAGTTGATGTTCTGCTTTTCTGCAATTAGTCAAATTATGTAGACAGAAATAGAGTGGAGTAAACCTGGGGCTTTTGGGGCACTTCAGGGTCTGGGGTCCAGTTGTTAATCCAGCCTTGGTTATTTTAGGATATGTGCCGTTTTAATGTAACCATGACAGGACATAGGGGTCCCTATGTCCTGTCATGGTTACATTAAAACTGCCTGATGTTTAATAACTGATGTCATCAGAAGGTGCTAGAAGATTCGCTGAGGTTTAAGGACATTTAAAATTACCAGTAGAAGCATTGTGGGAAAGTCACATTAAAGGGGCAGTTCCTCAAAAACCAAGAGGGGTCTGTGCACACTGCAAGAGACTCCCAAGTCAGCGTAACTTTAGCTGCTAGCCGCTGTGCAGCCTGGTAAATTGGATCCGTGGTGTCTCATCCTCGGACCGGTTCTCCTGTTAGTGTCTGAGCCTCCGTGTGAGACGCTGCGGTTGGTAAATGTGCGTTTTAAAAAACTTATTTAGTGGGCCTGCACAGCAGCTAGCAAATAGGTAGCATGGCTAGCATCATTAGCGTAGCTGTGCCGTGCTTCCACCCCTTTCACACTGGACGGAGAGGCGCAGCGGCATGACGTAATATGAAGCGGGCGTAGCCGTAAGTATTGCAGGCTGCAGACAGGTAAAAAAAAACAAAAAAAAACTGCTTATTTTTATGATTATGTTGGCGATATCTCTCCATGCAGATCAGCTGTGTCCCAATTCAGGGGCCGCATCGTTTGGAGGATCTACGAAGGTGTAGCCCTTAGTAGCTGATGTAGACCGCGAAGGCCGAACTGAAAAGAGACGGTCTGGTCTACGGATGATTTGTGTGTCCGCCTTTACTGTTGTGTCGTAAAGCAGGGCTCCTGTCGCTTAGCAACTCTGACAACATGACATTTTTCCATCACAAAAACATCTCGCAACTTTAAGAGTTGTAGCGTGGGCTGTAGAGCTGAGCTGACACCCAAGATTTCAGGTTAGATATAAAAGTATAATCCTGAGTAGGGTTGCGCGATCTTAAACATAGTCCGATCGTCTGACTGTCACCCTGTGAAATCGCCGATATGATGGTGGGGGGTGTACGTTATGATACTTTACGTTAAGTCTTGACATTGACATTTGCAAAGGCATGAGCCAGTCGAGGGTCGTTCTGATGATCGTCGATCACCGATATCATCGTCCATGGGCACAACCCGAATCCTCCGGCTCTCTGTCGGTGGTGTTTGTCTTTATTACGAGCGCGCAATGAATCTTGGGACAGGTGGGTCATGAAGGTCCCGTTTGGAGGAGCCTTCGAAATGTGAAAGCCTATTCGGGCCACTGTGATGCAATCGGTTTTCAAAAGCAGCCTCTGAAGGACGCGACCCCTGAATTGTGACACAGCTATAATCTTGGTTTTATTTGTCCAGGTTTTTACATTTCTGCCTCCACTTCGATACAATGACGGGGAACAGAGTTTGGTTTGTGCTGCTTTTCCTGTTCTGGCCGACGACAAGTCTTAAAATCGGCTATAAATTCACAGTAATATTAGTTTAATTGCTCTCGAGGGACAAAAACAATGAGCAAGGTACTTCCTCAGTTGCCTTGCTAGCTTGCACACTGTAAAAAGTGAAGTCGTCACCGGCTCCTCGGCTCCTCGGTCTCTCCTGAGGTTAGTTTTAGTTCAGCTCTGTTCTGTCTTCTTCTGCTGTTGCTGCTCCTTTAACCACTTTTCTTTTCACCTTTTCAGTTTGGACATTATCACATAGACAGACAGGTACAGACCAGTGTTTCCACATACTGTCGTGTACATGTATCCCTCCCCATCCGCTGACCTGTGTTACAGACACACACACACACACATACACACACCAGGTAGAGTTTGTGTGTATAATCCTTGCTGTTGTGTGAAACCTTGTGTCTCTTTCCCTCTCTCTCTTTGTAGCTTCGTATTTTCTCACAGTCTCTGAGGGGTTCATGAAGCCAAATGGTCATTTTACTGCCTTCAATTTATTTTCTTTTTTGGACAATCTGGGCTCTTTAAGCTGTAACACTTTCTGGGTTGTGACCAAGTGTTTAGATTTACAGAGTCCAGAGTCAGATTTTATGTGATTAAAATTTACATTGAGGTCAGTAAACCAAAGTCAAACTGCACATTTTCTACATTTTTAGGAGAGTTTCTTCTAATGCAAATCAATACTACATCTGTAGGTGAAGATTTTAATTTTAATCTTCGGGTACTGCAAATTCAAAATGATCATAAGGTTGAATCAACTCCTCCCTGACACAAGTGTTAAAGCTCCATATTTTCTTCTTCCTCTGTGTTTTATGAACCGAAAACTATCTCAGTGTAGTTTTACATCTCCTCTCTCAGGCTTCTCTCTGGAGCTCTAGTAACAACAGGTCGGTGAGCCAATCAGAAGAGAGGAGGCTGTGAGCCTCTCTTCTGATTGGCTGGCGGTTTTTCTGAGTGAGCCAATAAAAATACAGCAGATTTCAGGTAAAAACACTCAGAGAAACCAAATCCTGCAAGGTTTGGATGGTGGGTCCAGGTGGGCGGGGCTTGGTGACTGCTTTGTTGTGACATCACAAAGTTCCAGAAGTCCTGACGGCTGGTTTTAAGGCTCAGTTTCTGAATACAGGCTGTGTGCATTTCTCTGTGGACTGAGGCTTTGATACTTTCACAGTATTAATATAGAAGCTAGAGCTGATCTATAATCACACTACACATGGACACAGACCTTTACACTGGATGCAGCTTTAGTGAACACTATAACTTTATCAAACCCAATTAATCAGGTGATCTGCAGGTCTTAAATTCAGTTTGCTCAAAAAAAAAGTTCTCAGAAGTTTTTCAAAAGTCTTCAAATTCATTTACAAAAGTCTTTAAATACTGTCTCTTGCTGAGGTTTGTCATAAAAAAAGTATTGGTTTGTGATTGTGGCTCTGCCCACACCTTTTTATTTGGTCTGAACATTTTTAACTGAAAGTAAACACACCAGGTTTTGACATGACAGCTGTACATACAGTATGTGTCTATATCCTGCACACACACACACACACACACACACACACACACACACACACACACACACACAGTGGTGTTAATAGAAACACAGAGACATATTCTCTCTGTTGGACTCGGGCAGTAGCTGAAGTGACCAGCAGTGTCATGGATGTTGGATTAGTCGTTTAATTCACTGTGACGATGAACTGCGGCTCAACAATTAATTAACTTGGCGTTCTGCTGATGAGTCCGATTCACCCCCAGTTAATTAAATTACAAAGGATGCAATCGAGCCTTAAATCCCCCCCCCCCCCCCGGAGAGGCTGCACTGAAAATGGGAAACTTGTCCTGAAGGTGGCGCTAGAGGGAAGGTCACGGGGTCGCAGAGATTATCAGGAATAATCCCAATTAGTGCAATAATTCGTCAGTTTATAACACACTATAAATGTATATATGATATAGTATAAGTAGTTGTAAAGCAGCTATAAGGACATTTCATTGTGTGATTAATTACAACACATCTGCTTAAAAGTCCATTATAGTGTGTTATAATCCAGTTATTAAATTCTTATATATCCTGCTACAAGTGAAGTGTTAAAGCTTTTTGTTTGTCAAAGACAGTATTGATGATTAGTTATCAATACAATTTTATTATTATGAGCTAATCATCGAATATTCATGATACAGAAATCTGTGATTGAAATAATATATAATAAGTTTAAGATCATTTTCAAACATTAACATGCAGTTAAATGTGACTGACATCCGTTTGTGTTGTGACCGTGTTGTACGTGTTTCCTCCTTTTCAAAACAAATCTCCATCCCCCGCTCCGTGACGTTACGCTCCGTCGTGTGTTCTGCGTCGGAGCAGTCGTGTAGTCAAAGTCCTTGGAGGTTTTTTTTTTGGTGCATGTTAAAGCCTGCAGGCTGCACTGCGGCTGCACAGCGCACGTCCTCCTCCTCCTCTCTGCGGGAATCCAGCTCAGGCTTTTGTTTTAAAAAATGAATTTAGCAGAATGAAATATTCAGGAAGCCGTACCTGAATGTTGTAAGCGTCAGGCTTTGTGACATTAAGGTGGAAAGTGAATAAAACAGTGTCAGTGCGGCACAGGAAACACTTTGTCGACTGGTTTGTAAGACATTTATTACAGCTGCGTGACACAGGCACTTTATGATTCTTCAAAATGTTCATTTCAAATGTGTGAATTCAATTGTATGTTTATCAGTGGGGTCAGAGTTAAAGGTGCTATCGAACACTTGAACACAGTGACTTGCACTTTCTGAGGGTAGCATTATATCTGATGTCCATCCAGAACAAACCTCCAGAAATCCACATAGAGTAAAATAGTGATAGTTATCTGTCCACCCACATTCACACCGTCAACAGGAGCTGCTAATCGATAATTCGGCTACTTTTAATTTTTCCAGAATGTAAACAAGTATATTCTTAAAGATATGTGGCTCAAACAGAATATCAAGACCTGCATGTAGCTTAAATTACAAGAGCACATGTGAGCATCATCCCAAATAGGCCCATATATCAGTGTTAACATGTTTTCATCCCTCAGATTAGCAAAATAAAATTTTTGACTTCCTTTATTTTTTCACACAAAAGTCAAATGAAAGTCAAAATGAAAAAAACTCAAATAGCCACTTTAAAACATAAGAACAAGATTAAGAAATATGGAGGACAGTAGATAATTGCTTTTGTAATAATTAAAGCTTCATATTCTTTTCTTCTTCTTTGTTTTATTTTGAAGTGTTGATCCATAAGAAGATATATTTGTGGTTTTAAGAACCAAAAACCATCTCAGTGTAGTTTTACATCTCCTCTCTCAGGCTTCTCTCTGCAGCTCTAGTAACAACAGGTTTTCTCTGTAACTGAGACTTTGATAGTTTCACAGTATTAATATAGAACCTGATCTATAATCACACTACACATGGACAGAGACCTTTACACTGTGAGACCTTTAATCCAGTCCAGACTGGGCTTTAAATGGTTAAAAAATTAATGTAAATTATCTGATCAAAGAATAAGTCAACATACATACCCGAGTTTGACATCGAGCTCTATCACTGTGTTTTAAAGTCACAACCAACAGCCCCAGTTTGATAATGATGCTGCGAAGCCTCTGTCCAGCTGCTATGAATGTGTTAGAAACACACACACACACACACACACACACACACAGATTCAGATAAACCCTCCTGTGCTGCTGTAACCTGGTGTGTGTGTGTGTCCGTGAGTCGCTGTGAGCTGTTTGTTCGTGTTCAGACTGAATATTAATAACAAACAGGACGTGGCCAAAATATTTAAACCCCCCCCCACCCACCCACCCACCGTCATGTCGTCATACGTCCTGGTTCACACATGATACAGTCACCTGTAACTGATGCAACTGATGCAGCACTGCGTTTGGCTTTATGTTACCTGAAGAGTTCATTAATATCAGTTTTAAAGCTGCAAAAACTGATCAATCAGTTCATTATTTTTTAATCAAAAACTTTAAAATATGAATATTTTCTTCTTCTATGATAATAAACTGCTCTGTGTTGGGTTTAGGTTTGACGTTTTATATTTTATAAATTAATTGAGACAATAATTGGTAGACTAATTAATAAAAATAACTTGTTTATAAAACATGGTTATAAAGTGAGTCTGACTCTAACCTCCTGGTTTCTGTGATCAGACACCAACTTTGTTCTGGGCAACGCGCAGATCGTAGACTGGCCGATCGTCTACAGCAATGATGGCTTCTGCAAACTGTCCGGCTACCACCGAGCCGAGGTCATGCAGAAGAGCAGCACCTGCAGGTACAACAACCACACACACACACACACACACACACACACTGCTGTTAGCTCAGGCTATGTCCACCTTACTACGTTTTCATTCTCACTGTAGTTTTCGCCTCCTGTCAACACGACTCCGGCGTTTTCGAGCACTGAAAACTTTTGAAAACTCTGAGGTTGTGTTTTATTTTGAAAACTCTGCGGTTGCATCGTCGTCTGGATGGACAGAAACTAAGACCTTTGTAAACGATGATGTCACACCCACGGTCTCTCCTGATTGGCTGTCATCAGCCTGGACTACCAGTGGTGAAAACAACATGATAATGAATGACAGTGTCACTGGCCTTGTTGTCTTTGCAGCTGTTGTTCACTTACATTCTGCAGTTTAACTCTGCAGCAGTCTTTGTTGCTCCTAGTTTGTATCATTATTTTTTACAACTAATCAACTGCAGAGGAGACGGTCTACTTCCTGTTGACACCTGCTCGCTCATTTTTGTTTGAAAATGAAAACGTAGCCGTGTGGATGTGGGCTCAGTGAGAGCTGCTGATCGTCCTCAGCGTCTGTGTTTTCTCTCTGGCAGCTTCATGTATGGAGAGCTGACGGACAAGGAGATGAGCGAGAAGGTCCGACAGACCTTCGAGAGCTACGAGATGAACTCCTTTGAGATTCTGATGTACAAGAAAAACCGTGAGTGCTCCTGTCATGTACTCAGAGAGGTGTTTCATCTGACCTGAATCCCCAAAATCCCAGAAGATCAAGGATCTCAAGACCTCGAGACCCAGTTTAGGTCCTAAACTGGGACACGCCGCGCTGACAGTTGGCGGCCTTTCAGCTGTTTGAGCTCAGAGACGGTCGGTGGAGAGATCTGTCCGACTGTTCGGCTTAATGCATCAGCAGTTTCTGTCATCAGTGCAGCTTCTTGTTATTTTTTGTTTTTGTGTAAGAAATAGTTTAGAAGCAGAAATATATCCAGGTCCGGTTTTTATGTGTAAATTATTCTTAAATTACAAACACAGCTACCTTTGATATCGCAGTGTTGTTCCTATAAGATCAGTGTCGATCCGTCTCTGGTTGGATTTTAACTCTCAGTCATTGTGATTTAATGAACTGTGGCACATCAGACTGATTTCCTGTGTCTTGGCGCTGCAGGGATGCCGGTCTGGTTTTTCGTGAAGATCGCTCCGATCAGAAACGAGCAGGACAAAGTCGTCCTGTTCCTCTGCACCTTCAGCGACATCACCGCCTTCAAGCAACCAATCGAGGACGACTCTTCAAAAGGTGGGTGGTGGCGTTCACATCAATTCTGAAAGACCAAACTCTGAAATGCAGGATAGTCGATTTTTTTTTTCTACATTTTCGTTTGGACTTCAATCAGTCAATCAATCAATCAATCAATCAATCAAACTTTATTTGATTATTTAAAGACGACTGATGAGCCACAAAAGAAAAGGAAAAATGAAATAAAGCGACAATGAGATCAAATAAAAAAAACTATAATAACATTATCAAACAAAAAAAGTTAATAATAAAATTTACAACATAGAAACAATAAAATAAGTGAATAAAATAAAGTGATTAATGAATAAAAACCATATGTAATGAAATGCCAGGCTGATCAGGGACGCTTTGACTTCACGTTTCAACACTTCGGCTTCTCTCAGGTCCTCGGCGAGACTGTTCTAGCTTTGTTTCTGAGATGAACAAATAGTGATAACTCTAATATCATCTGTACTTGTCTAGCACCTTCCACGCAGAGATGCAGCCCACAGTGCTAAAAAAAACAAAAAAAAAAGGATTAGAAGCAATGTAAGAAAAACAGAAATGGAAATGAACAAGAGATAAAAAGGTTGTTCTTTGTGTCTTTGTAAAGATAACAAGTGAAAACTCCAACTCCAGTTGCTTGTATGTTTTCTGTCAGTTGACTCAGTCATGTGTTGAGGTTTCAGTCTGCTGATGCTGTTGTTGTCGTTTCTCTGTGTCACTGGCAGGTTGGGGTAAATTTGCTCGTCTGACTCGAGCGTTAACGAGCAGTCGAGGAGTTCTCCAGCAGCTCGCTCCGGCCGTCCATAAAGGAGAGAACGTCCACAAGCACTCGCGGCTGGCAGAGGTAACGTCACTTCACCCGGAGCTGAAGTCCTTCCTGTTTTCAGTGAAACCTTCTCCTGGTAGAGAACGACAGGTCGTATCTGTCCGAGACCTTTGACCTTTGACCGGGTGAAATTATCTCCCCTGTTCCATAAAGTAAGGTCTAGTCTTTCTTGTGAGCTCAGTTTTAAACGATGAGATTTAACATCCACTGAGAATCAGTTTGGCCCTCTGGATGTTTCTGGATGATCGGAGAGCTGCGAGGAGCGTTCAGGTCGCGACGTGTTGCAGATCTCTGCAGCGTCACGACGCACTTCATGCCTCTCGTGTTCGTGCAGAGAGAAACTGGTTTTTGTGAAATTTACTTTGTGAAACACATCTCAATATAATGTAGTCGAGTCACCAACTCTCAATCTCTACTGACACTTGTTGAAAAGAACAGGTCTGACTGATGGTGTTTGACTGTTCGCTTTCACTGGCTCAGATAAGTTAACGACACACACTCAGGTTCAGTTCATTAGGAACGCCTGAGACTGCAGTAGATTCTCCTTCATGAAAGGTTCAAATGTTCAGTTTGAGTTGAGAGTTTTACCGAGGTGTCGAATCAGCTTCATGCTGATAGTTTGTGCTGCTGTTGAACTGCATCCTGTTGAACTGACAGGTGTTTCCGTTGTATTGTTCCCTGCGTTTATGTCAATGAGGTTAGACTACATGATAAAACACCTCTCTGTATAAATCAATACAGTTCCAGCTCAGAGTGCTGAATGTTTAAATCATCAGACGTGTCTGTGTCTGACTCCTGATCCAAATAAAACAAATAACTTTGTTTCTGTGATGTGATTGGTTGTTGGTAAAGTTTTGAGCAATATAAGTTTCTGATTTTATTATTGAGGACATTTCTATCCTGATCAGATTGATCTTGTTTATATCAGACAGCCTTGGTTTCAGTTTCAGTCGCACTTTGCTGCGTCTCTACATTTAATGATCTTTACTTTCATCCTGCTGCTCCGCCGTCACACTGATGCTTCGTCCGTTGGAAGTCTCTGCGCTGGAAAACCGCCATCAAAAACGTGGTTATGTGCAAACTTGGCTTCCAAATCCAGCGTGTGGAAGTCGGGTGTCTCTTGAACCTTTATTTCTCTGCCTCTGAAGCAGAACAGATCATTGTCTTTGCCTTTAGAAATGATTCTAAAAAAGATTCTCAGTTCAGTTCAACTCTTTATCATGTTTGATTGTTTTTTTTTTTTTTAAATATTAATGAACATAAAGGTAAAGCCAATGAGGTTTAAGGTCTCAGATTGTTTTTATTTCATGTTCTCAACCCTGCTTCAGAGGCAGAGAAATAAAGGTTTGAGTGAGAGTGTTGCATCAGGTGAATCTTTACCTGAAGCTAGCGGTGATACTGGCTCTGCCTCCTCCTCCGCTTCCTCCTCCTCCCTGAGCCTTGACTAGCTGCTTAGCAGCTTAGACTCATCTCAGTTGTTTTTGTTGTTGTCATCCAGGTAGCTGCCGAACTCGTCGCAACTTTAAAAACTTATTTTGTGGCTAAAACTGCTGGAAAAAACCAAGCAAAATAAAACAAAACGCATTTCAAGAGTCACTTTGACTTAAAAAGGACGCAATCATATACTACACATGTATGTGTCATCCGGTCTGAAAGGGAGAAGTACGTAGACATCTCACCCGGTCTGAATGGGTTCACTGAGAGGCCGTGAACCCGGACTTCCTGAAGTGAAGCGGCCGCCTCACCTGAGGTACATCAGTGCCGACTGAGAAACTTTCCTTTTGTTTTGCAGACGTTATAACTGATGATCTGCTCCAGCTGCCAGCAGCCGAGCACAGGCCTGAACGTGATGTATTATAAATGACTCTTCACTTTCGACAACGGGAGAAATCCAGCGCTGTTTGATCCGGAACGACACCAGACAGAACTGATATAAATGTTCAAAAAGACTGAATATTTCAGTTTCTTTCATGAGATGAGAAGAAGTTTAGATTGATGTGAAACAAAACAAACAGCGCCTCTGACGTCCTCTGTCTTCCTGTCGTTTGGCAGAGCGCAGCGCTGAGATGAGGCTGATAGATGGAAGTAGTTCCTGTTGTTTACTGACAGCCTGCTTTCAGAGCGAGCCAAACACACTGTTATTAAAAATGAACGCAGGCTCTGTTTCTCCCCCCCGAGCTCTCCTCAGTCGTCCCTGGGCGATCACAGCTCCCGTCGATCCTCAAGAACTCTGAGCCAGTTTCATTCTCACTGATTTGAGGTTCAGAAATATCTTGATATTCTGACTGCAGTGTCAAGACTGTTCACCTCCATTCACTCCTCCCTGTTGGATTTAACTGCTGCGAACCTCAAGCTACAGAGGTCCAGTGTAGTTTTCACATTCGATTGGATAAATGTTGCGTATAGTCTCCTACGTGCAGAAAGTAGGTTTCATAGGAAGAGGAAAAAGGGGGATTACTGTGGGAGACTCTCGAGGTGAGGGTCATGTGCAAGCGACAACCTCCAGGGCTGAAACATGAAGCATCAACAGCGAAGAACCAGCAGCTGCAGTTCCTCTAATGACCACTAGAGTCTGGCTCCAACAGTGAGTCAGTCCCCATAGACTCCCATGTTAAAATGTCCAACTTTACAGCAGAAATCAACATGTTTACAGCCTGGTACAAAAACGGTTTTGGTCTCTAGAGCTGATTTCCTCCTTCATGACACCTGTTTATATAACTCACCTGTTTTTTATTAAGGACTAAAGTTATGGAGAATTGAGGGCGTGGCCTCTTTGAGCGACAGGTGGGTGAGCGTATGCTTGCCACGAACCGGCATGAACTGAAGTCTCAGCTCCACACACGCCCCTCCTCTTTGTCCATTCTTGGATTAGCTGGGAGTTAGGAGGCGGAGTCAGGCACTGCCAAGATGGTGACGGTGGAGCAGCTCACTCTGAGCTTCAGAAACCTGTGGGTGACGTCACAGAGGCGATGTCCATCTGTATTTATAGTCTGCGGTGATATGTAGCCGATGTTCAATAATATCAAATAGTGAGATGTTTCCTGCTTTTTGTGATATTTTTCACAATATAGAGAAAAAAACATATTTTAAATTATAGTATAATTATATTACTTTTAGAACTCCTCACTTGCTGGAAAAAAAAAAATAGATATTTAGGTTGGACTTTGTCGAGATACTCTGTCATGTGACCGATGGGGCAGCACCACCCCCAGCTGAGGGTTTGACCACATTGTTTTTATTTAGAATGGACAGTTTTCAGTATTGATTATTGGCAATCACTGTATGTTTGTTGTCCTTTTGGTTACACTGAGCTGCTTCCTCTCCTCCTCATTGTCTCTTACAGTATTTCTCCAGTCGAGGACTCTGAAGGAAAACACTTTGATAGGAACCATAAAAAATCTAATACAGAAATTAAAGTCATTCATATTGAAGGGATCTGTAAATGTGTTTTTCAGAATCTGATTTGCTGGAAGCGATGTTCTCATGAATATTAATGAAGGCACAGTGTCATGTTTTGGAGAGAGTTTGACTTGATACAGTCTTTATTTAGTTTATTCAGTTGTGCTCTGTTCTTCTTCACTGATTATCGTCTTACAGCACCAGGAGACAAGTTAGCGAAGCTGCTGAAAATTATCCTCCTGATGCCTTCGGCTGTGCAGGTCCTAGTGGTCTCTCGAGAGTCTGAGTTTTTGGTTTGAATCCAGATCAATGACCAGCTCCACTGTTACACTGAACTCTGCTGAGCTGGCAGCTCTTCGCTTTGTGTATCTGTGATCTGCTTTTTAACCATGAATAAGAAGAAAAGAAGGAAAAGGAATGCTAACAAGCTAACCGCTAACTTAAGCTGGCTGCCTCAGTTCTTAGCTTTTCTCCTCCTGTGTTTGTTTTATGTTCCTTTCGTGTAAAATAATTCTCAATGGAATAAATATCTAAACATCCCAGTTCCGTTAACATGATTTAAAATAAAAGCGTACACCGTCGTGGCTTGTTGAACATACACTCCAGTTAACGGTCTACATGATGACAAATAAGATTCGTTAACTGCTCTTCATCACTTTTCCCCAAACATCAGCACGCTGCCGACAGGCCTCGTGTCGCTGATAAGTTCCTCAGCTGTAATTAGCTGTGACTAATCTTTCCATTAACTGCAGAGAGATAATTAGTGTTTGCACTAATGAATAAGTTCATTATTAGGGCGGTTCACTGGGGTGATGCTGTTTGCACACTGCGTTACGAGTCTGGTCAAATGAAAACATTTAATTTTCACACTGATTTGTGAAAAGAAAGTGAGTTTGTTTAGTGAATTCATGCAGTGAAAGGTTGTAGAGATAAAATGTTCTTTGTGCACATTGTCAGCAGCATTTATTTAATGTTGAATGAACAGCTGGTTCGTCCCACTCCCAGTTTTCAATTTGTTTAATTTAACTTTTTTGGTTTTAAGCCAAAAAAGAACAGTTTTTCCATTTTTGACAAATTAATGAATAGAAATAGAAATAGAAATCTTTTATTGTCATTGTACAAAATATAAAATATATAACGAAATTCAGAACTGAAAACAAATTTAAAAAAATATATTTAATACATTCTATATTTTTTCAATACAGAATGTATTGATAATGGTAGTGAAGAAGCTCTTAAAGCTGCGGACACAGCTGTTTGATTCCTGTGGTCTGTGTCAGTTCCTTTTAACCGTGATGAACCACAGACGCATCAGATCAAAGTGAAGCTCGTGTTGTTGGTAACTCGTGTAGAATAATTCAGATCTGAGACTGTGACAGATTTCGATGAAGCTCTTGTGACGCTCTGCTGATTAAACTCTGTCGTGTGTCTCAGGTTCTCCAGCTGGGCTCAGACATCTTGCCTCAGTACAAACAGGAAACGCCGAAGACGCCGCCGCACATCATCCTGCACTACTGCCTCTTCAAGACCACGTGGGACTGGGTCATCCTCATCCTCACTTTCTACACCGCCATCATGGTGCCGTACAACGTCTCCTTCAAGACCAAGCAGAACAACGTCACCTGGCTGGTGGTGGACAGCATCGTGGACGTCATCTTTCTCGTCGACATCGTCCTCAACTTCCACACCACCTTCGTCGGGCCGGCCGGAGAGGTCATCTCTGACCCCAAACTCATCCGCATGAACTACGTCAAGACCTGGTTCGTCATCGACCTGCTGTCCTGCCTGCCTTACGACGTCATCAACGCCTTCGAGAATGTCGACGAGGTCAGTGGGCTTTTACGAGTCTGTTAACAACAGCTTCCTGAAACAGTGAGAGGATTTAAACAGAGCTAACGTGTAAAACATGGCGGCCGCCGACAGAAGAAAGGGCCGGGGTACAGTAGCCAGGAAGCGCCAATGTTTTTTAAGTTCAAGGTCAATTCAGTTTACAATGATTTTCCAATAATTATATTAATAATATAAGATTTATCGGGCCGCCCAGTGAAAACTATAAATTATCATGTGACTTCATTATTTTTCTTTAATTTTTATCAGAAATCTACAGAAACATTTCAGTTTGCAGATTTGTTTGAGATCATATCGATTAAACTGAGGTTTAAAGGTGCTATATGTAAGTTTCTGCTATAGCTACACAGCCAACTTTAGTGTTAAGAATTGTTAGCTTACTAGCGTAAAAGAAGTTCAGGAGTTCAAGGTTTCAAACTTTTGTCTTTTTTCCTTCTTTTTCTATCACTTAATTTCCTCTACTGAAGTTAGCATGCTATCCAGCTAGCCCCAGCCCATCCCATCTCATAATACTACACTACAGTGATAATTAGCCACTGTAATGTCCGGACTGCCCTCAGTCCAACACGAGAGGACGGAGAAGTAGCTTATTCTAACCTCTTGTATAGTAGATGCAACAATAGCTGAAGCTCTTGGTAAGTAAACAGCTGTTAATGCTAACGCAGGCTATGTAGCAATAGCAAAAACACACATATAGCACTTTTAAAGCACAAGACTGGTGGGATTCTATATTTGCACCAACACTGAACGTCTGGGGTGGAACATTTACTCTCGTTACTGTAACAAAGTCGTTTCTTTACATTTTTAAATCAATTATTTTCCTTCACTATGTTTAAAGTCGAGCCGCTTGTATCCTCGATCCCGTTCTTCGTCTTACAGCGTCCAACCAAACAGCAGCAAAGTGCATGTAGAGAAATGAGCAACACTCCAGAGCGAAGGGTTGAGCTCTACAGCAACAGCAGAGGAAGAATATCCCAGCTCATGTTCTCTTATTTGTTCTTTTTTTTATTCATCCACTGACCTTTTCATCAAGCCGACGGCTTTATTTAACTGGAACAAGCGGAGCGCAGTCAGACTGAGCTTCTGAAATACATTTATTGTTTCCTTCAATCAATGTTTCAGCTGAGCAGCTCCCTGCGTTTTGTGCAGGACGTGTTGTCAGGTCATGGGTGAAGTCAAGAGAAGTGTGTTTTTGCAGACGATGATCTCGCCGCAGCGAGTTTCCGTCCCTGCAGTTTGGTTTAAGTTTGAAGCGGTGGCGGCGGCGTTGTGCTTCGTGAAGTAAGAGAGGAGTGAACATGGCTCTGCACAGTGGGCTCAGCGTGGTGCAGCCACATGTGACCCACAGCAGCCACAGTCCGTCCAGCCGAGGCATGAAACTGAAGATGATGCGGCGTGACCGCGGGACGTGGACGCCGCGAGTCTAATCGAGATGATGGAGTGGGACTGTTTTACATTCGTCCAATCGCTTCACAGCATGCAATTACTTCCTACAGAGGCGGAGGGAAAGGTCATGACTGAGCAGCGGCGCACGACTGCTGATGTGGGAAAAATGCAAATGCTCCAGTTTTGCAACAGGGATATCTTTTTTTAAATCAGTGAAAGCAGATTGTTCTCCACAGCCGGGACCACGTCACTCAAGTGTTCAGTCAGAGCGACAGTAGAGAAGGCAGAGGGGGGGGTGGGGGGTGTGTGTGTGTGTGTGTGTGGGGGGGGGGGTGGATCCTCTTTGCACAGAGTTAATCCAGTTTATCTTAAGCTGCTGTAAGACGAGCTCAGAGCGGGAGTCTGTTACAGATCTGTTTAAAGATGGCCGACGTGATCCCGAGGCTCATCCACCAACAACATGAAGGAGCACCACGCGGTGTGAAGACAGCTGGGTGAATGTAAAGGGTCAGTTCACCTGAACCACACACCAATATAGAATAAACAAAGATTTCCTGATGGTCAGGCGACAATGAGGGAGTCAGACGCTCCGACTGAACCCTCTTCCTCCTTAAAATCACGCTGCGTTTTCCTGCCTGAGTGGGAGTGGCTTGAGTGAAGCTGATCAAACCACCTCAAGGTTATATTTAGGAGTTTCAATGTCGTCATTCACCTTTGTCCGTGAGGTTCGGCGTGGAGCCGTGTGGAAGAGGGGTCGTGCGCGGAGATCCGGCGTTACACACATTTCTATGATTCTTCATTAGAACAATCCAAAGAGCCAGAAGGTGTTGAACTCCTGAGGCTGGGTCTGAGTCTAACTGATGCGTAAAATACCGTATAACATAGTAATAATCAGTCAAGTTTGTATGTGTGTGTTTGTTTGTTTGTTTGTTTGTGTGTGTTGAATTATGACGATGACGATTCTGTCTGTAATTAGTGCGAGTTGTTTGTTTAGAAATGATCTGACACAACGCAGCAGGAAAACACGAGCATCACACAATGATTATCGTCATGAAACAAAGGAAACGGAGCTTGTTACGTCACGGTCATTAGATAATGATCATGTGATCACAGGGGAACAAGAAGTCCTGTTTGGGCTTCCGTAGAGAGGAAAACAAAGTTGTTGAGAGAAGGGAGATGAAGTGCCGAGGGCTTCAGCCCATGAGGGTGAAATCAACCTTTTCATTCTCCCCTCAGTCACGCTGTCGGTGCTCAGCGTCTCTCAGCGCCGGCGGTGAGGGCTGCTAATGGAGGAGCGGTGCATTCTGGGTGTTTCCCCAGTGAGGAAACAGCGTTGTTGATGAGAGGAGCCGGAGAGGCGGCTGAGTGGTCTGAGGAGAGGCTGCAGGAACGACGGAGAGGACGCGTGTCTGTCGGCGGCAGAGCAGCTGCTGCGTGTGTCATACATGTTTCATACATGTTTCATACGTGTTTCATACGTGTTTATGCATCTTTCATACAGACTGTACCTTCCTGACTTTAAGAGCGCTGAAGCAGAGAGGAGGAGGAGAAACACAAGCACTGACCCCGGTCAAGAATCTCTTATGATTATTACATAACATGAGTTATACGCTGTGTTTTATTTTACATTTTCAACTGTTACTGTGATTGGCTGAGGGTCTGTTTTACATTCAGATAATCACACATTGATCACACCTGGTTGATAAACCTGGATCAGGCCTTTAGCCCCGCCCACCACCTGCTTGCCCCAGGTGGACAGGTGAAAGAGCAGAGAGTATTAAGATGGTGAGAGGAGGAAACATCAGAGAGACTCAGTCAGACCCAGACTCAGAGGAGGAGTCTGAGACCAGAACCAGAGACTAGCAGACGGATCAGAACCGTTAGCGTAGTTAGCATCTTTTATTTGTTTATGCTGTTTGTTAGCGTGGAACTGGCAGTGGCTGACACAGTGTTAGCGGTTGTGCTAATGCTAACTCTCTCGCTCTGTACTGACAAGGTTTCAGGTTTATTGGTTCCATCCTGAAATAACTGTATTTTTTCAGGACATTTAATCGTCTTTTATTTCTTTAACGTGTCCTCTCTTATAGTATCTGTTGTTTTGTTCCAACGCCTCTTTATTGCGAAGCGCTTCGACCACCAGGAGATCACAGGACATGGACGTTCAGCAGGACAAATCATAACTCGGTCAGATCCGAACACACACACACACGTGAAACACATGTCATATCGTTCAGCGGGACTCACACTCCCCCGGGGCGTCATTATCTCTGATGTCCACCCAGAATCAACCTCCAGAAGTCTCTGTCGAGATGACGGAGAGAAGAAGCTGCAGAACTCGCCTGAGAATCATCACATTGATCACAGTGATCCAGTGAGAGGTGTCTGTGCATCCATGGCTGCGCTGCAAACAGGAGCTGCTAAGAGCTAATTCGGCTTCTCTTAATGGTGCCGGTTTGCCAGTATGTCACTAAACAGCAGGACCTGCCTGTAGCTGACATTACAACAGCTCATATGAGCTTTTACAGGGTCTAATGGTGGTTTCAGTGTTGTCTGTCGTCATATCGGTGCCCAAATAGATCTATATGTTGGTGTTAAAATGTTTCCATCTATCGGAGTAGCCCACATGCACTTCAGACAGGATTAAAATCACCTCCCTGGAGGGATAAATCCAGTCTGAATGGAGCTTTAGAGCTTTTTCTAACCTTCTTTTAAATCAGTGTCTTTAAACGTCACAGTGGATCTGGGGAAACTGATCAGCTCCAGTTAGAGCTCTCCTCCTGACAATGAATCAACCAAATGACCAGCCAGAGGGAGCCAATCAATGAGTCAATTAACGGATGAACTGACCCTCCAGTGCTGCAGCTGGTCATGGAGAAGCTGACTGTCGTGTTTCTATGGCGATGAGCTGATGACACTCGGCGATCACGCTTCACAGTTTTATCATGAAATGAGATTTTAAATAAACAAGAGACTGAGACGTTTCCGTGAGAAGAAGAAGGACGATGAAAGTGAAAAGTAACAATATTAAATAAAAGTTTCCACTCCTGCACAAAGAAAATGGCTCCCGGTCTAATAATAGGTACTAATATTTAGGTCGTGTTTACTTCAGGATCTGTGTTGAATTATTATCACCTTGGGTTCAGAGTCTCTGAGCCTCTTTTACACCCGTAGTTTTGGTCCGTTTGGTCCAAACAATTTCAAATCATGTGTTGAGCAGGTAAATGGAAACACACCTTCGATCCCATGATGGTCTGAATGTGTGGCGCTCTCCTCATCTCTTCGTCTCTTCCCTCCTCTTCCTCTCCAGGGGATCAGCAGTCTCTTCAGCTCTCTCAAAGTGGTCCGCCTGCTGCGTTTGGGTCGGGTTGCCAGGAAGCTGGACCACTACATCGAGTACGGGGCCGCGGTGCTGGTCTTACTGGTGTGTGTGTTCGGCCTGGCGGCCCATTGGCTGGCCTGTATCTGGTACAGCATCGGAGACTACGAGGTGATCGACGAGGACACCAACACGGTGAGGATGGACAGCTGGCTGTACCTGCTGGGCGAGACGGTGGGGACGCCGTACAGGTTCAACGCCTCGGGCTCGGGCCGCTGGGAGGGCGGGCCCAGCAAAGACTCGGTCTACATCACCTCGCTCTACTTCACCATGACCAGTCTGACCAGCATCGGCTTCGGAAACATCGCACCGAACACAGACGGAGAGAAGATCTTCGCCGTGGCCATGATGATGATCGGATGTAAGTCACTCTCCTTTCAAACTTATTGATCTCTGCCAGATACAAAACAATATTCAACAACATAAAACCAAATAAGGAAAGTGTTAGCAGAGCATTAACACAAAACGGGGTTAGGAAAATACGTATAAATCACGGTCGGGTATCAAAACCTTTTGCAAACGTGACACCGGTTCCTATACAGGCGGTACCTACCAGTCCGAATATCAAATTTCAAACACAAATTTTGGTGCTATTTAAATGCCTGAGCTGTTGTTTGAGGACTTTGCCCCCTGGTGTTCAGAAACAGACGCTACAGACGAGTGAACAGCACACTCGCCCTGATGGCAGCAGTTAGCCTACCGTTAGCTGGTAGCTTTCATAAACGTGGTTTAAGTGGCCAAAGCTAAACGGTCTGAAGTTATTTTATTTAATGTTGCATTTTTAAAATTACTAACAAATGATTAACTTATTATCAATAAAACATGTTCGTGCAAAAACATGATATCTCAGTAACACCTTGAGGAAGCTTCTTCAAATTTGCCACAAACATTTATTTGGACTAGAATATGGTGGTCAAAGGTCAAATGTCAAAGGTCAAGGTCGCGGTGACCTCACAAAAGACATTTTTGGCCATAAGTCGCAAATTCATTCACTAGTTATGACACAATTTAACTCAAATGTCTGTGATGATAAAATGACGTGATGACATTTTATATCCCAAAGGTCAAAGGTCAACTTCATTATGACATCATAATGTTCTGCAAATACACCTCTGGCCTTTATTCAACGTTGTAACTCACTATAGGTCTGGAAAGGACAAAATTAACATTTAACAAAGGAAATAAGTTTCTGCCACCTGTAGAAACATCAGCCCGTGCTGACCAATCACAGCTCTTGTTCTCAGCTTATGTCGCCGTAGCTTCGTCAAAATCTGCAGCTTCACCCTCCACACACAGAGTAAAGAGTTAAAAGAGAAAAAGCTCCATATTTCTTCTTCTTCTGTGTTTTATTTGAAGTGTTGATCCATCAGAAGATACAAAAACCATCTCAGTGTAGTTTTACATCTCTTCTCTCAGCTTTAACTTATTCCTAAATAAAACATGAGTTGTTTTAATTTGTTAGGTTCATGTAATCATATATAAATGCAGGAATTTATATTTTCTCATGGTTCAAACTTTGTTATTGTCAGTGTGAACATGTGACCTGTGACGCTCCTGAACCAGACTCTCTATAGAACGACCCTGTCAGACCTCCAGACGGCGGGACTTTGTCCTCCACGTGTCTTTTCCCGGCAAAATGAACAAAACAATCCCACAATCCCTCTGTACAGGAGCAGAGGAGAGTCAGACGAGTCTGTCAATAATTTATTGATGGTTGACTCAGTGGTCCGACTCATATTCAGAGCTCGGATGAAGCTCACTGTGGGGATTTCACACTCTGCAGATTAAAGCCTGTCGCTGCTTATTTCAATCTGAACAAACGTGACAAAAACAAAATCTGTAATCTGAAATAAAATCCTGTAAAATGAATGAATGTCCATCAGTTCATCCAACCATTATCCATCATCCATCCATCATCCATCATCCATTCATCATCCATTCATCATCCATTCATCCATCATCCATCCATCATCCATCCATCCATCATCCATCATCCATTCATCATCTATTCATCATCCATTCATCCATCATCCATCCATCATCTATCCATCCATCATCCATCCATCATCCATTCATCATCCATCATCCATTATCCATTATCCATCCATCCATCATCCATTCATCCAGCCATCATCCATCCATCATCCATCCATCCATCATCCATCCATCCTCCATCCATTCATCCATCCATCATCCATCCATCCTCCATCCATTCATCCATCCATCATCCATCCATCCTCCATCCATTCATCCATCCATCATCCATCCATCCTCCATCCATTCATCCATCCATCATCCATCCATCCTCCATCCATTCATCCATCCATCATCCATCCATCCTCCATCCATTCATCCATCCATCATCCATCCATCCTCCATCCATTCATCCATCCATCATCCATCCATCCTCCATCCATTCATCCATCCATCATCCATCCATCCTCCATCCATTCATCCATCCATCATCCATCCATCCTCCATCCATTCATCCATCCATCATCCATCCATCCTCCATCCATTCATCCATCCATCATCCATCCATCCTCCATCCATTCATCCATCCATCATCCATCCATTATCCATCCTCCAGTGACATGTGACTCCTGTCACGTGATCTAAGGAGATATTTCTCATGTATAAATGTATCTGTGTCCCTCCAGGTTTCACACAGTGATAATATAAATACACGAGAAGTCTTTTCCTTAACGATCTGACAGCTCGTTAACCAGTTCAACACATTTCAAACAGAGTGAATTTAATTTAACCAAATACTGAAAATCTTCAAAGCTTCTCTCTGAAACATCCAGTCAGTGAAATATTTCCTCTACTTCACCCACTGGTTTAATGTTTGACATAAATATGATGAATTTCTTTAATCCGTGTTTGTGAACAGTTGTTACTTTCATCATCATCATAATAATAATAATAATGTCTAAAATACAGACAGAGAGGAAACATGTGGCTGTGTTTCCATCACAGCGACCTTCATCCACTGAGGAGGTGATTTATTTTTCTCAGCTGCGTCTGTTGAGTAATCTGAAATCTCATAATGACATCCATCAGTGTCTGTGAAACAGTGTGGAGCAGAGAGTCTACATCAGCTGTCTGACGCCGGAGAACATTGTTATCAAAAACGACTCCTCTGCTTCCTCCCACGCAGACCGCGGCTCTGCGGCGGCTAAAAATCACACTTAAAGGAACAGTCGGCCATTTCCTCACCACATGAACTTAACATTTGACAAACAAAGGAGTTAAAACGACCCTTTAACCCTTTAACATCCAGTTCCCTCTTCTGTTTCCTCTTAACGAGCTTTTCAAGGTCGTTAATCCTCTCTGACCGTATCATACAGAAGAATGTTTCATCATGAAGCTCTATGATGTGACGTATTCAAGACTCCACCAACGCCACGGTCGAACCACTTGTTCCGGAGCTTTCAGCTGTCTCATACAGTCTTCATCAGCAGCTGAAACGCCTTAGAGGGGCTTTATGTGTCCATGAGCACGTTTGAAGTTATTTAGTTATTAGCTTTTTATTTTTCTTTATAATCAATATTTTGAAAAATACGAGGTTTTCCTCCTTCTTTATATTTATATGTTGAAATGTGAACATTTGAAATTTTAAAAGGTTTTGATTTCTTACATTTTTCGCTGGTGTCAGATTATTTATCATGTAATTTATATTTTCTTTATTGTTACAAAATAAACAAATTTTTACTCTTCAACTTTTTTCTAACCTCTTGTAGCAAACTCCATCCTCTGATGATAAAGTTTTATGGTTGAAAGCCCTGGAACGTGTTAGCAGGTGGACCTTGAGTTGAGATTGTTTTGTCCGACTGGTCACATGGAAATATTGTCGATGTCTTGCGCATCATCGTATTTCCCCTCACACGTGTCCCTGGCGTCTTTTCAAATCGTTGGTGTGAAAACTAGAATTTACAGTAAAGTGTGTTTGAAGGACAGATCATAACTGAAGACACAGCAGTTTTACAGTAATGTGGACAAACATCAGTGATGTAAACAAAGCTGTAGAAGCATCAGGAAACATGAGTCAGCTGTATTTGTTCTGCGCTGTTTGTCCTCCCGTGTTTAAAGAGCTGTCAGTCAGTCGGTCTGAGGCTGCACTCTTTTGTTTCGGTGGTTTCTACTGTTTGTCGACTGAACCCTGCGAGCTCCTCCTCCTCCTCCTCCTCCTCTGTGTGATTGATCCTCTGCTTCCTCCTGCAGCTGTGAGTTTGAGAGACGTTGTGTTGTGTTTTCACACAGTTACACAAACAGGCTTCAGGCTCGTATGAAACAGCTGAGCATCTCCTCCTGTCACGGTCACTTCCACCTCACTCGTGTAACGACTCCAGTACGGAAGCCCTGAAGTGACAGTTTTTGTTTTGTTTCATCGGTGAAAACGAGTCCGAGAGACAAGTGAAGAAGAATATTTCTGGGAAGAAATAATTATAGTGCTGATTTCATCCACAAGAGGCTGAAGTGGTGATATTTAATGTAATTAAATTAAATTTCTCCATGCACTCTGAACACAAGGTACATATAATGTGTGTTAGCAAGTTATGTAACGTTACTGTTACTTCTTTTGGCTAGAAATGTATTTAAATTTTTTACTTTTCATTTGTAGAAGAAGAAGAATATTTTACAGCGGAATCATTTCATCATTTCATTTTTCTTCTTCTTCCTAGAAAAAATTCACCTGTCTTTCAGGACGTCCACCAACCAATGGAAACAGATTTACCGAAAGAAAGTCAGAATCAAACCACTGATTTTATATCATATCAGCATCTTATAACACCATCGTCAAGGTTTTCAAAATAAAAGCAGTACAGCACTTAAAAAACCAAAGAAACGTGTTAAATCCCCAAAGTTCTTGTAATAATTTAGTTAAAAACGGGTTAAAAACAATCTTAACTTAAGGTCCACTTACTAGTTATTTCTGACCGGGATCTCAACCTCTTAGATGTGAAATAGATGTCTGGTTAAAAGCTTCGTAAAAAAGCCTGTAAGTGGACCTTGAGTCAGGATTGTCTTGAAGGGTATTGACAGTGAGCAGCAGCCAATCAGCAGCTGGATGAGCCACAACTTCCGTTTATTGTTGCTACACCTGTGAAGGTCTCGGCCCGTCACAGTGTCAGATTCACCATCAGCATTAATAGAGATTTGTTACCGTTAACATTTTAACAGTCGGTTCCTCTTAAGCTCTTATTCTTTTGGTCAGACTCTCTAAACTCTTAGTAAACGGAGGATCTCTCTCACACCTGATGTAACTGTTTACAGCTGCTAATCTGTGATTGGACGTAGTTGCTGTTCAGGGGAGGAGCTTAGAGATCATTGAAGTCACCAAGGGAAGTTTGCAGTAATGTGTGGACCTGTTTAATGTGTGTGCAGGAAATGACACAGTCAGCTTTGACTTTAATGGCATTTTAATTTTGAACTTCCTCACTGTGTGTTTATTGTTTGACCTTCACTGTTACCTGCTGCGTTCATGTGCTGGTCTCTCTCGGTCTCTCCTTGTCTGTCCCGGTCTCTCTCGGTCTCTCCTTGTCTGTCCCGGTCTCTCCCGGTCTCTCCCGGTCTGTCCCGGTCTCTCCCGGTCTCTCTCGGTCTGTCCCGGTCTCTTCCGGTCTGTCCCGGTCTGTCCCGGTCTCTCCCGGTCTGTCCCGGTCTCTCCCGGTCTGTCCCGGTCTGTCCCGGTCTCTCCTGGTCGCAGCAGGAGACCTGGAGGTGAGGAGCCGCTCTCTGCGCTTTGACTCCAGTGAAGCTCGTCAGCGTTGTACAGATTTAGAACGGCCTGTCTCCTCCGATCCAAACGGACAGATGGACGGCCTCTCCGTTAGCGGGAGTTCCTCCGCGACGTGATGCGCTCTGACACGGCGAGGTCTGGTGCGCTGGAGTTCCTCACTGAAATATTAAGCGCACTGTCAGATCAGCTGGACTCACGTCCTCCCTGCTGTCTGCTGCAGCCTGCACACATCCAGCTGCTCAGCGGGACGCCTGATTCAGCCTGAGAGCTGCAGGGAGCTGCACCGATGCTGCACAGCAATATTCAAACTCCACAGACAGTGAAACGTAGTAACTGTGGATCTCTGCGTGAAACCAAACCAGCTGCAGTTGCTGGTTCGAGTTTGTTAAATCCAGAGTTATGAGGCTCTTCATGGAGAGACCCCGAAAAATTCTCTCCACAAACACAAAGTCACATTTTTCATCAACAACCTCGATTCTAAATATTTAATTAACTTCCTCTACACCGTGTTTCTCAGTAAGTTTTCAAGGGCCTGCCATGTACATTTAAGTTCGACGCGCTGTGCGGTGTAACAACAGTAATGTTAGTCCATCCAGCCTATAAACTCGGTTTGGATATTCATACTGGAGCTCCCCAGAGGATGGACCCTGATGGCTTTGGTGACTCCAACAACTTTACTTTTCGAAATAATTCCTCCCGACCAAAACCTCGGTGTGTGAAAAAATATCTCACAAACTTCTTTTTCTGAAAACTTCTGATCTCAGTCCTGCTCTCCAGAGGATGAACCTGTGGCCTTTCTCTCGAGCGCCACCATCAGGATGAACTTTACATTTCATGCTCCGCTACTGTTGAGACTCACCAGGATGTTGTTTGTTCATATCGTGGCTGTAATGAACACTGCGGCCTCTGGGGGGCGCTGGCAGGCAGAGACGCTGCTGGTGTTCTGTTTGTCAAGAAGGTGTGATAGAGACGTGTTGTGATCGTAGCTGTGATACTAATATAACGATAAACTTTATTTTGTAGAACATTTTATAAACAAGTGTGACAGCGACGTCTCGTTGTTACAAACTCAACGGAGAGACGGCGGTCACGTTTCCATGAACCTGCTTCATGTGCAATTTGAAATGCGAGTTAAAGTCACATGACATTCAAAAACATTCAAAAACATTCGCAATTGTGCTTTTTTGATGGTTTCACATTTAATGGGTTTGGTCTTGGGCCGGGACAGAACATGTGGTTGCTATGAGCAGTGGTGGGGGAAGTATTCACATCATTTACTGAAGAAAATCAGCAATAGCACAATGTGAATATATATAATCTACATCACAAGTAAAATTCTACTTTAATGCGAAAGTTCCGACGCATCAGCAGCTAAACCATTAAAAGTAAAACTATTTGTTTTGCAGAAAAATTTGCAAAGTGCATTGTTCATACTGATGGAGATCCTTTGTTCCCACTGCCACTGTACAACACCTCAGACAGAGGAAGTGGACTCATCTAATTATTATTGTTCATTTGTTATTAACTGATTTTATTATTATAATTATTATTATTATTATCAACAATGAGCTAATGGACACATGAATTTCCCCCAGGGGGTAAATAAATCTATCTATTTATTAGCTGCTCCAAGCGGAGCTGGTTTTAACTACTGTATATACAGTTAGTCCAGTGGCTCCCAACATGGGGTTCAGGGACCTTCAAAGGGTCACCAGATAAACCTCAGGGGTCGACAGATGATTCATGGGAGAAGAAAAGGTTTTTGACTTTTCTGAAATCTCTTTCTTTTGTTGTTGTTGTGACATATTGGATCATTTGAACTGAAACCATGAGGAGTTTAGAGGGGAGACGTCTCTTTGGTGAAACTGTTGGAGACTGTTAAGACATCTGAAACATGACGATGAGACACAGCTACACCCTGGTTTTATATCAGAGGTTGGCAGCCGCTGGTTTAACCTTATGAACTCCAAACCGCTGTAAGTGCAGCTGAAGTCGGTGCACGTGAGCAGTGTGTGGCGGTCGGGGGCCGACGGTGAGCTGGTGGAGGTTTTCCAGAGTCCTGCAGGTAAAAGCTTTTCCTCACCGAGCTGAAGGATGAAGAGCTGTAATGTTGACAATTTGTCTCCTTCATCGGAAGCTGCTGTCGTCCGGTGTCACATCAGGATCTACGGCCTGTTCGTCTGGATCACGTTCAGCTCTGACTTTGAATCCCGACGAATGAGAAACTTCTCAGCTCGTAAGAGTCAGATTTGTCGCAGAGATTGTTTGTCAGCAGTGAAATCAGATCAAGAGGCGGCAAAGGAAACTTCTAACCCAGTTTCACTTCCTGTTGCAGTGCGGGGATTCATCCTGCTCTGACAGTTTGTCCCTCTGGGGCTCCTGTACAGAAACTGTACTTGGACTGTATTGAGGCTGCAGTGCAGGCTGGGTAAAACCTTTTTCCTATTTAGATTCACGATGAGCACTGAAGGAAGCTGAGTGTTTATTGACCCCCAGCCCTGTCGGCTGATGGAAAGCGGTTGCTATGACAGCCAGGTTCCCGGATCCAGGATGAGAGTTGGGGGTCATTAGCGTAGCGAGTGCGAGCGTTGTGGCGCTTGCTCTGTGACATGAGGCTGGGATGTAAGACAGAAATAACTGGTCCAGTTTCTTTCAGGAACATCCTCCGTCTGTTGGTGTCTCTCGCAGACCGGACCGCGCTCCTCCTCTCCGCCTCTGTGAACATTTGTTCTCATCTCAGGTGGTTATTTTCTGCACTAAGTCAAAGTCAGACTAGTTTAGTTTCAGTTTTACCGAGGTCCCTCAGTGAACCACCGAAGTTTTCTAACCTTTACATGAGGACTAACATGCACCTGCAGCGTTTAATGGTCTCTGTGTGGAGATGCAGTAACTTAACAAACCAGCCACTTGTTTCCAGAAGCTACAGAACAACGTGGCGGTTCATGTTGCTGAGGGAAACATCTGGCTCCTCCTCCTTCAAGGATAAAGTTTTTAGAAAAATGAAAACAAAGATAATTTCCCGCTCTCGCTCTGAGAGGGAGTCATTGTAGATGATGAAAACTAAATGATTATGAGAAGAAAATAAAGTCCAGCTCTTCTTCTCTTCTTGTTTATACCTGATACTCGTGTTAAAGATGATTTCAGTCAGACCCTTGAACACTCTCCTGAGGTCTGACCGTCTGTTCTGTTGTTTTGGTGGATGAGAGGAACATCTGTTCTGGATTTAAACATCTGTTAGTGAGTAAATGAATGTAGCCGTGAGCTTCTGAAACGTTTCCCGTCGTTCGACCTGGCAGGTCAAAATAACAAACACCTCGGCCGCTCAGCAGCAAAGCTCCGGACCTGGCTCTGGTTCTGGACCCGCTGTTGCTGTTTCAGCGTCGGCTCGGCGGCGCCGCTGCGCTTAAGTTGTGCTGTGACCTTTGTGAAGGTCACTGCGAGTCCCGTGTAACGACTGCGACTCTGAGCTGCTGCTGTCAGTGCTGGATGACGGCAGCTTTCTGCTGCTGCTGCTGGACAGGGGCGGTATTGATCCGCTGACCCCGGGTCCATACTGCTGACAGGCTGAGGGGGGGGGGGGCTGAGTCAGGGAGGCACTGCAGCATATAGTATTGATGAGCTGAGCTGAGGCTCGGAGGTGATAGAACAGTTAATCTCACAAACTTAAAAACTACCAAACTTCTTCTGACGTACATGTCAGAGCGCTGCAGAGTCTGAGGATCAGACCTGATCCGGAGCAAGCCGAGCACGCCGGCCTGTGAACCCTGTGGTAACTAAAACGAACTGAGTCACAGTCACTGATCAGGAGGATTAAATTATGAAGCTTTAATAAAATAGTTTTAGGACAAAAACACAGTTGTTTTTGTGTAATTCTGTGAAACGTATTGAAACTCACTCACTGTAGTTTCTTAATGTCGTCGTGTCTTTCAAATTCAAACTTTCATGTGTCTTTAAAGTGTTTTTCCAGCGCGAGGCAGCGACTCAATTCTTCCCCACTGCAGGTAGTTCCCCCTCGATGCTGCGCTGTGACTGCAGCACAAAGCTCTCACACTCTCTCTCCAATCAAGGGGAAACCAAGCAGAGAAACGTCTGCACCTCCTCAGCTGTTTTGTGAGTTTCCGTATTAAAAGTATGGATCAGGGGCGTCGCGTAGCGCAGTGGGTTACGTAGACGCCCCCATATATAGAGGCTACAGTCCTCGCTGCAGCTGGCTCCCGGTTCGACTCCCGCATCGGACGGCCCTCTCCTGCGTGTCATTCCCCCTCTCTCTGCCTCCCCATTTCCTGTCTCTCTACTGTCCTGTCCGTTAAAGGCACAAAAAAAAGTATGGATCAGAAATCTATCAGGCCACAGTGAGAGAAAGAAAACAGAGCACCAGGTTCTTTCCACAATATCTGATGTAAAACCCAAAAGAAAAGAGAGTCGGTACCTGCCGTGGAAAAGAGCTGTTCACCTGGAGGCGCCGCTGCTCTTAAAGGGGATGGGGGTTGGCTGTTTAACTCATGCAGTGTCTGTACTTCCTGTTCCTTCCTGTCCGCAGCGCTGCTGTACGCCACCATCTTCGGTAACGTCACCACCATCTTCCAGCAGATGTACGCCAACACCAACCGCTACCACGAGATGCTCAACAGCGTCAGAGACTTCCTCAAACTCTACCAGGTGCCCAAAGGCCTCAGCGAGAGGGTGATGGACTACATCGTGTCCACCTGGTCCATGTCCCGAGGCATCGACACCGACAAGGTAACGCCTCCGTCCTGCTCGCCGTCTCAGGTGGAGAGTGTTGGGATGGCGCTGACAGATCAGAGGCATTGACACAAAGTTGGAATGACACTGTGACATGACATATTTTTTCAGGTGCTGCAGATTTGTCCCAAGGACATGCGGGCGGACATCTGCGTCCACCTCAACAGGAAGGTGTTTAAGGAACACCCGGCGTTCCGGCTGGCCAGCGACGGCTGCCTGCGCGCCCTCGCCATGGAGTTCCAGACCGTCCACAGCGCGCCGGGCGACCTCATCTACCACGCCGGAGAGAGCGTGGACAGCCTCTGCTTCGTGGTGTCGGGGTCACTGGAGGTCATCCAGGACGACGAGGTGGTGGCCATTCTAGGTGAGAACTGAGAATCTGGATTTGAATATTTCACAAACAGAGAACAACAGTGTTTTTACCGGAGATTCATTCGTTCATGTTTTGTTTTCTTTAATGTGTAATTAATCATTTATCGTTCGTCCTTGACTTTCATGTCTCATTTACTCAGGGAAACCTTCAGCTGATTGTTTTCATTACTGTTTAATCAAACACACTTTTGGATTAATCTTCAGGTGAAACAGAACAGACAGAAAATAAATATAATGTAAAAAAACTATTTCTAGAAAAGTTTATTTTAATGTTTTTACTCAAAAAATAACAGAAATATTTCAAAAATCAACCATTAAAATCAAAAAGTTTTTTCAACCGGGACAAAAAAACAAGCTGCCGCTCAGAAAAAGCAGGAAATGACTCTGATAAAAACTGATGAAAAAAAGGAAACCGATCAATCAACAGTCAACTCATGTTTCTGTTAGAGATCTGAGAATCAGGTGGAGTTCCCTCCTGTCGTTTCAGTCGCCGGTCGTCATGACAATTCATCTTAGTCCCTCCCACTGAAGACGTGAGGAGAGAGGAAACGAGGAAACATGTTCTTGTATTTGCATTTTCATGCAGAGTTCACCACGTTTCCTCCTGACAACAAAATCTTAATTATTTGTGTAATTATTTATCTTTATTTTCCTCAAATATTCAATATTTAATAATCCAGATTTGATCAGAATATTTTAGAATTAATAGAGATGATTGATCGGAGATTATGTAAACATCTGTCCTCCTCTGGTAGAATATTATTCATGATCCAGATTAAATTAAGACTTCAGTGGCGGCTGGTCTTGTGTCCTCGCTGCTCCAGACAGAAATAAGATCTTTGTGACGCCTTCGTGGCGGCGAACTGAAACTGGCGTGTACCCATGGTGGCGGCGAGGGAACTTGAAGGAGATTTCCTGTTGGAAAGTTCAATCCGGTTCTGCAGAACCTTCTGGATTCCGTCCCGGTCGGACTCATCCGTCAACGCTAAAAGCTCCCCCAGCGGGAATCGGAGACGAGGCGTCCCTGTGCTCCGCTGGGGAAGTGAAACAGAGAAGTGAAAGCCCGTCTCCAGAGGAAACACCTGAGACAGAGTCACCTGCCACGCAGAGAAACAGCGAGCAGAAGAAGAAGACGCTCGGCTGCTTCCTCAGCATCACAAACTGAGCCTGTCTTCTGTTTCCGTCAGAGTGCGGAGGAATTATGCTCCAGGGCCTTCATTAGCAAAACCTGGTTTTTTGTGCACGGTGTGTTTTTGTTTCTGCCTGGTTTTTTCTTTTTTTTGGGGGCTGATGGAGGGAGAGCGTTCACCGGTTCAGAAACAAACAGAGTGAGAGGTGATGGAGGACGCTGTCGAGGCGGAGCGCGGCTGAACGAACATCTGTCACAGTCATTATGCAATTCACTCAGGGTGCTCAGAGGCGCTGCGCTCTTTAACGGCTCCCTGACACTCAGCAGTACTCTGCCGTCAGCGTGCAGGCGCCGACACGAACCCAGCTTCCTGTCCGACTGAACCATCTCTGCAACTGGTGGATGTTTCATTAGATCTGGTTCAGAGAGAACCGGAGGAGGAATCCTGCTGACTGATGATCCTTCATCTAGTGACACATTTACAAAGTTATAAATCTTATACGGCCGAGACAGAGCACGAACACATAGATGAGCGATGCTTGTGTTCTGTCTTTGGGGAATCGTCCTGTGGGTAAATTCTGACCCTGTTTGCCTCATGTCCAGCTTTTCAAAATCGAAAAGCAAGTGACTGAAACATCCCAAACATCTGCATCAGTATCATGAGGATTTAGATTCAGAGCTCCAGTCTGGACGAACATGGTTCACGTCCTCGACACTGTGAAATGTCTGAACCAGAAAATGATTTATTTGACTTAGTTGACGACTTTGACCTTTATTTTGACTTTGTTCTTGTCGGCTTCCTCTGCTGCCCTGAAAATGATAGTTGTGTGTGTGTGTGTGTGTTTTCTATTTGTAGCTGTTTGTTAACAAAGACAACCTGAGGATCAGTGTATAGTCCGGTCTGTTGACACCTCTGCAGATAGTGTTGATGTCAGAAATGAGTGGTTAGCGCTAACGCAGATTTGCAGCTGTGCAGCCGCTCACTGACCCGGCTGTCGCCTTCTTTAAGTTCCAGGTTTCAGTTGTTTTTCTTGTTTGCTGTGACTGAGATGCTGAGAGGAAACGAGGCGAGCTGGCTGCAGCTCTCTGACCTGTTTCTGTCCTTTAGATATGTGGCTTTACTTCCAGATAATTTCCAGAGGAGATGTATTATTGGCCGACTGATTCAGCTTCGGTTCCTCTCCGGATAAATATTTAGATTTTCCCTGCAGATCTCTCAGGGACACCGAGCCGCGCACCGCTGCCTCTGTACTTTCACATCACATTAGAAACTATTTAAAGTCCCACGTCTTCACCCCGGCTTCACTTCCTCTTTTCACATTAAGACAGATGTTCTCTGTGAGCAGCTGCAGCCGCTGCATCCAAATCATCCTTCACTCTGATGGATGTGTGTTTTCACTGCAGCGCTGTCACTTCATAAATGACGGCGCTCGTCACTGTGACCCTCTGACGCCCCGTCATTCATCTGTCTCCTCCAGAGGCGACAGAGGTTTTATTTAAGATGTGGATGATGAAAGTCGTCGTGTTCCTGAGCAGCGACATGAATCTTTTCAAACAGAATCTGCTCAGAGACATGGACTGACTCTGTGACATTAACGAGGATCAGATGTTCAGGTGGAATCTGCTGTAAAATTACACTGCAAAGCATTTTAGGGTTCATCCAGAGTAATGTGTTTCGGTTTTCAAACACATCACTGTTGTTATGTTTACTGCAGGCGTCCATGTGACTTCAACCTTGTGACCAGCAACATATAAAGAGGAGGCCATAATTCAATTCAATTAAACAGTTAATTTATGTACAAACAACAAAACATAACAAAACCAAAAACTCTGGAGGCTGGCCATGAAGACAGAGGGAGTCTGGGCCAGACTCACAATGGGCCACAAATACAATACAGTAAATAAGTATACAGTAGTTACATAATACTGTGAAAGTATCAAAGCCTCAGTCCACAGAGAAATGCACACAGCCTGTATTCAGAAACTGAGCCTTAAAACCAGCCGTCAGGACTTCTGGAACTTTGTGATGTCACAACAAAGCAGCCACCAAGCCCCGCCCACCTGGACCCACCATCCAAACCTTTACAGGATTTGGTTTCTCTGAGTGTTTTTACCTGAAATTTACTTTATTTTTAGTTTAACTACACTGAGATGGTTTTTATATCTTCTTTAACAAAGGTCAGGAGGTCGGCCAGCTGATGTTGAATTGTAGAAAACTCCTGAAACAAGGAAGAAACTCTCAACACTGGGAGATGTGTTTCTCTTGGTTTAAGAAAAGGATTCCTGAAGTCTGAGCTGAAGAGACTTTATGTCGACTGTGATCAAAGACGTACAAACTGAATCTGCCTCTGCAGCATAAAGCAGCCGCCTCCGTGCTCAACATGTTGTTTTCATAAATAAACTCTGCTGTCAGAGACGAAGGCAGAGCTGTGAAACAGCTTTGTGTGTCATCTGGCTCAGATTAAGTCCTGGATGTCGGCAGCAGCTCTGCAGCTGTCTGTGAGAATCTGGTGTGATGGTTTCTGTCAGCCCGAGTGTCGCTGTCGTGATTTAACATGAAGCTGAAGCAGGACGACACTCGGACCAATCAGCACAGTCAGCAGCACGGTGTCACTGTTTGTTCAAGTCGCTGCTTTAAAGGAGAAAAGCTGCTTGTTTTTTTTCCCCCCAAAGTTTCTCTGAAGCAAATATGAGGATTGAACCGTCTGAGTGAGTGAAACCAGTTCCTGTGTTGGACTGAACATAATATATCTGGAAATTATGTTTGAAAAAATTGGAGTTCATCTTCACTTTTGGAATGGAGAGAGCAGCAGTGTCACATGATCTACTGAGCCTCATTGCTGCTGCGCTAACGAGTGTTTGTATCCAGAGTCTTTAGAGTCATTAGTCCAGTTTAACCTGCAGGAGTGACTGGAGGCTGCTGACACGCGCTCACAGCAGAACGAGGATCGCAGCCGTCACACATGGCGAGCTCAGAGAGACTGAAGTCTGAGAAACTGTCAGAGGAAATGATGCTGACGCTTCATCAGTCTGACAGGAGAGACAGACAGAGAGAGAGAGAGAGAGTTTCACATGTAATCATATTTCATATCTCACTTATATAAGAGGAGAGGCTTCAGTGAGGAGAGCTCTCTGCTCCTCTCTGCTCCTTGGATCGTCTTCTGTCGACTCCCTCTTCAACACCTACTGTTCTGGTGATGCAACAGTAGGTCGGCGTCTGTTTGTGTGTCAGGAGAAAGCAGGATGGATATTTTTTCTGTTTTCTAAACGGTTAATAGAGAAACTAACGGGCAGAATGAATGTGACTGAAACTCACCAGATCTCACTGCTGCCACAAACATCTGCTGGGCCGGTGAGAAGATCATCAGAACTCCGTCATCTTGGTTCAGGCCCCGCCTCTCGTCCAGGAAACTCTACCAGCGTCCTCTGGTGTGGCGTGCTGAGTCGTTGCACCGGTTTAAGTCACGTCTCAAAACACACTTGTATAAAGCAGCTTTTAATTCTTGATTAAAATTTTAACTTCATCACTTTTGGTTTTATTTTCTTGTGTTGCTCCATCGATCTCATTGTTTTAACACACGGACTTTATGCACTACTTCTCTGTTTTGTTTTTATGTTTGTACAGCACTTATATATATATGTATTATAATATAAATAAAGTTGTTATTATTATATTGTTTTTCTTTTGTTTCTGAATGTTTTATTCGCCTTTATTATTAATATTATTAATAACACTACATTGGGTTTGTTAGAGGTGTGAAATTGTGGAACATATAAATCATCCAGATGTTGAGTGAAGAAGATGATGAAACTGCGTCTGTCTGTCCGTCTGTCCTGCAGGTAAAGGCGACGTGTTCGGCGACGTCTTCTGGAAGGAGATGACGTTGGCTCAGTCCTGCGCCAACGTCCGAGCGCTGACCTACTGCGACCTCCACATCATCAAACGGGACGCGCTGCAGAAGGTCCTGGAGTTTTACTCCAACTTCGCAAACCACTTCGCCAGAAACCTGGTCCTCACCTACAACCTGAGGAAGCGGGTGAGTCGGCGCTCGTCGCCCTCACACTTCATAATGCAGACCGCAGTCTACAGCGTGACCTAGTCGTGTGAGTCGGTAATAAAAGACTGACTGGTTCCTACTGGAGCTTCAGTGCTGGTGCAGAGGAAGAAAACGAGACGAGCGAGACGTCCACACGTTTTTATTTTAAAATGAAAACGTATCACATGACCATTCATGTACACTGGGAGCGACCGCGGGCGTCATTGTTTCCAAAAGTCCGTCCAGACTGAACCGCAACTCTGGAGTTTTCAAACTCAGACGAGGTCAGCAGCGTTTAGAGGCTTAAAAAACTCTGTGGACAGCAGGAGCTTTAAAAGTAAAAGATATGAATGTGGCTGTCGCCTCGGAGGAAGAGGAAGAGGAGAAGTCAGGCGCAGCGCCGGGAAACACAACAGTACATTTATAGTGTCAACAGCTTTTTTCTAACTCTTTAATTAAAGAGTGAAAAGAGACAAAACAAACTCTAATGTTTCATATAAACAACAGACATTACTTTGCTGTGTGGGAGCACTTGATTTACAGACGGTGACACCCACACTACTGAGAAATGTAGCTCCTAGCAGGTGGAGCACATGGATGAAGGTGGATCAGATTTACCGTTTAATTAGGAACCTATTGATTATTATTATGAATCAGACATTAATAATAACGTCTCTGAGCTGTAACATCATGAGTCACCTTCAGGTTCTCCAACACAAACAGCTGTGTTTTCTTCCACTGCTCCAACATTTAGAAACCAGTCTGTTATTTTTACTTTATTTAAAGTTATATTTATTCAGGAGAAGCAGAAGTCAGCAGCATCATCAATCAGTGGTAGGGCAGGAGTGTGTGTGTGTGTGTGTGTGTGTGTGTGTGTGTGTGTGTGAGAGCCATGTGACCTCAGATCATCTTGCTTGTTGTCGTCTGAAGACTTTACATAAGCTGCTTTGTTCTCGGCTCGTCCCGCTGCACAGAGCAGGTGTGATGTCGGCGAGTCTCACAGTGTGGAGGTGGATGATGACAGAGCACCGTGTTCACAACCTCCACTGCTGCTGCAGCTCACACACACACACACACACACACACACTCTGCTCAGTCTGACGCTTCGACTCACTTCAGGGTGAAGGAAACAAACGTGTCAGACAACCTGTCCCATTCTCATGAACGTGATATCTCAGAAGGTCAAAGGTCAAGGTCACTGTTACCTCACAAAACATGTTCTTGGCCATAACTCACAAATTCATACGCTAATTATGACACAATTCAACTCAAATAGGACAAAATGATGAAATGATGACATTTTATATCCAAAAGGTCGAAGGTCAACTTCACATAATGTTCTATAAACACCATTATTAAATCATAACTCAGGAAGAGAAGGGGAGGTTGTGACCATACTTCCTGTAACTTGACTGGTTGGTGGAGAGATACAACCCTGAGGAGGTGATTCTAGTTTTCAGCCAAAGACCAGATGTTGTTTCCTCTGGAGAGTCACAGGTTCTTCTCAGTTTGCTGCTTCAGTGTGATAATATCTGCAGCAGTGACAAGTCAAGAAGGAAGTCGGCCTGATGATGAAATCAAGTTACTGTAGAAACGGTGTTTTGAGTCTGTTTACATGAATACAACACAAAAACAAAATGTGTTTCACACAGATTCATTTAAAGCTCCATGTTTTCTTCTTCTCCTGTGTTGATCCATCAGAAGATATAAAAACCATCTCAGTGTAGTTTTACATCTCCTCTCTCAGGCTTCTCTCTGGAGCTCTAGTAACAACAGGTCGGTGAGCCAATCAGAAGAGAGGAGGCTCTGAGCCTCTCTTCTGATTGGCTGACTGTTTTCTGAGTGATCCAATAAAAATATAGCAGATTTCAGGTAAAAACACTCAGAGAAACCAAATCCTGTAAAGGTTTGGATGGTGGGTCCAGGTGGGCGGGGCTTGGTGACTGCTTTGTTGTGACATCACAAAGTTCCAGAAGTCCTGACGGCTGGTTTTAAGGCTCAGTTTCTGAATACAGGCTGTGTGCATTTCTCTGTGGACTGAGGCTTTGATACTTTCACAGTATTAATATAGAAGCTAGAGCTGATCTATAATCACACTACACATGGACACAGACCTTTACACTGGAGCAGCTTTAATGTGTCGCCCCAACCTGATTGGATGTACACTCCCCCTCCTCACAAATCCTACTCCAGTTCCTCTGCTGACAGTTCTAATAGAAATCAGACTGATGATGTTAGCTTCATGCTAATTTAGCTAAAGTCACAAACATGTTGGACTCGATGGAGGTTTAATTAGAGTTTAATGATGCGTCTGTTGTGTCGTGTCTCTTGTGTCGATCTGCTGCTCTTCTTCTTCTCTGGTTATCAGCTGCAGGAGTTAACAAGTCCTTGAGCCGTGAAAGGTCAATTTAATAAGACCTTTTATTGATCGAAAACAACAACAATCAATGAACTGATTTACAGATTTCATCAGTGATCCATCAACATGATATCAGGACGTGCTGTTCCCGCCCACAGTCTCTGCCTCTCAGTCCGGAGTTGAACGTTCAGGATCACCGTAGTTTGTAGTTGTTGGGAAATATTTTTAAAGTGATACAAGCTGAAGAGCAGAGACTTTATTCTGTGAGTTTAACTGAGTTTCTATTTGTTTCTATCGACTCGTGATTCCTCTGATACTCAGGAGGCCTGATCAGTTTTCAGCCTCTGTCTGGTTCCATAAGGTGAAACAAAAGATGTATTTTACTGAGATGAAGTGAAACTGCTTTAAAACCACAGAAACTAAAGTTATTTCTGTTTTTTCTATGAGGAGATAAACACCTGACACCTGATCAGAAAACCTTCAGCTCCTTTATCTGACGACAAAGAGGAAGTGAAGACCAGTCCAGTTTCCTGAAATATACAGAATATGTCCTGATGTGAATTCACTTTCTATAATGCGTGCAGCTCAGACAACCGTCACACCGCCACTTATATACATACTTCCTCACTTCACTGCAGCCTCTTCAGAACCAACCAGGAACAACTAAAAACAACTCTTCAGCTGCAGTTCAGCAGAAGCTGCCTCACACAGAGAGGAACCACTGCCTTCGCTATAATCTGTAACCTCTCGGTACAAAACAAAAGCTTCTGAACTCATCATCCAGCTGCAACAGAAGCTGAACACTATAACCTTCATGAGGGAGGATGTGTTGCTCGACTGTTGGACAAGTTCTAGCTCGGTGCACCTCACAAACTGCTTTTTAAAGAAAGCAGAACCACCTCCTCGTGGTCGTATCCCTCCGCCACTCAGACTAGTTTCAGGTTACATCCCTGTTTATCCAGAGTCAGAGAAAATATGAACCGTTTGTGTGAAATTTTGTCATAATTTCTGTGTGAATTTATGGCTAAAAAGTGTTTTGTGAGATTACTGTGACCTTTAACCTTTGAACTTTCACCACCAAAATCTAATCGGTTCATCCTCGAGTCCAAGTGAATTTTTGTGTCAAATTTTAAGACGTTCTGTCACGGTGTGTTACTGAGATATCGTGTCCACGAGAACGGGACTGACAACCTGAAAACAAAATGGCGGCTGCTCTGACTGTCGCCGGCGCGGAGGAATAATAAAAAAAGAGCCTGTACGGTTTTTACACATCACACACACAACAGAGGATCAGTGACGTGTAGCGTGTCTGTCTTCTGCACCATCTGCCTCACGTTCAGCGTCTGTTTGTTTATTCTAGTGAAAAGTGGTAAATGGACTTCACTTATCATCCACTCACACATTCAGATGAGCCTGGGGAGGTTGTCTATAGTTTTATGTCTCCGAGCCGGTGACAGCCGTGGCTGGAGGCATTATGTTTTCAGGTCAAGCATCAACCACCGAAGTCAAAAGCTGCAGTTCCTCTAACGACCACTAGAGTCTGGCTCCAACAGTGAGTCAGTCCCCATAGACTCCCATGTTAAAATGTCCAACTTTACAGCAGAAATAAACGTGTTTACATCCTTGTACAAAAACTGTTTTGCTCTCTAGAGACAATTTCCTCCTTCATGACACCTGTTTATATAACTCACCTGTTTACATTTTATTAAAGACTAAAGGTATAGAGGATTGAGGGCGTGGCCTCTTTGAGTGACAGGTGGGTGAGTGTATGCTTGCCACAAATTGGCATGAACCGAAGTCTCAGCTCCACATACGCTCCTCCTCTTTGTCCAATTTTTGATTAGCTGGGAGTTAGGAGGTGGAGTCAGACAACGCCAAGATGGTGACGGTGGAGCAGCTCACTCTGAGCTTCAGAAACCTGTGGGTGACGTCACAAAGGCGACGTCCTTCTTTATTATCTTTATAGTAACATCTTGAGGCAAATTTTCTATGCTATTTCTATTCTATTCTATTTTTTTCCTATTTTATAAATTCATGAACTAAACAGATTATTAACATTTGATTTCCCTCTTTTCACTGATATAATATGGAATTTTTCTGCAAACATTAAATCAGTGATTAATTAAGTGACAGTTGAATGTAACCATCACTGCCTTTGCCAGATATAATAATGGGGCCCCTCTTTAACCCGGGTCCCAGGTGTGATCGGACCCTTCACACACAATTCCACTCACACTGACAAAAATCACTGATCAAACTCAGCCAGTAATTTAAGATTAATTTTTATCATCTTCAAAACAAGAAAAAAAAAAAAGTCTCATTATCTTCTGGATTTTTGAATCTGTTTTAACGAGTGTTTTCAAAATACTGAAACTCATTTATAGAAACAAAAGGAAACAGATTTATCAGCTGAATGTTAATTAAATCAGAGTAAACAAGTGTTCAGACAGATGTTTGTCACAGTGTTCGTAGAGAAACTGCTTCTTATTGAATTGGATCAGATGAAAACAAACAGCAGAGCAGGGAATTAAGATGAGGTATAAAACACTGATGTCGGCCATAAGCTGCTCGCTCTCGGTTAGTTTTATAGCCTCTCTCTCTCTCTCTCTCTCTCTCTCTCTCTCTCTCTGCTGTAAATCGA